GTTCTTTCTCTGGTGTGAATTCGATTGTGTTTCGCGAGCCCTGATTGCAAACGGAAACGCTTTTCACACTGGGCGCAGGAAAACGGACGCTTACCTGTGTGAATTAGTCCATGGACTTTTAGCCTTTGCAGCGTAATGTATTTTTTCCCATATTCCTTGCAGTGATATGGTCTCTCGCCCGTGTGCAACCGGGAATGGATCCAGAGAGCACTCGAGCTGGAGATGGCTTTTCCACATTCACTACACAGGTACGGTTTCTCCCCTCTGTGCAATCCCACATGCTTTTTCAGCAAGTACGGCTGATCAAATTTCTTATCACAAAACTTACAAGCATATGCACGTTCCCCAGTGTGAAGACGCAAATGAGTCTTCATCACTTTCGCACATGGAAGCCCTTTGCCACAGTAGGAACAAATGTACGGCTTCACTCTAGCGTGAGCTTGAAAGTGCGGCTCAAGACGGCGCTTTGTCTCGAAAGCCTTCTCGCATTTGTCACAATGGTGCAGCTGCTTCAGTGTTAGGTGTTCAGCTCTTAGATGATGTCCTAGCATTATTGCTTTCCTAAAACTCTTGCGACACACGGGACAGGTGAGGTTTTCAGTTTCCTCTGCACTGTAACGCAATTTCAGATTTAACTCTCCCGTGCTGCAACTCTCCCAGACTCTGGTACTGTACTACTGCAGGCTCCTCTGAGAGGGTCACTTCTGTCTCGTAAACACCTGGTAGGTTAGATGATGTGCTGGTGTGATCTGCAGACAAAAAACACAAAAAAAGTTGTGTCCTTTTAGCACGGATTCCTAATTTTTAAAGCTAAGTCAGCAGCCGATACAACAGGAAAATCAGGCACGAAGGGCCTTTACACTATGGCCACTGAGAATTCTTACAATATAACCAGTTTGCAGTTTTAAATGAATGGGTCCAATTTGCTTTGAGTAAGGTCAGCAGCAGTGAGGCTTAGCCTAAGTGTTATTAATGTAACCAAAGTGAAAGGGCAGCACCTTCTAAATTAGTGATGCTCACCACTGTCACCTGCCACCTCAGCTTCTTCAGAACATGGAGGGGAAGTGAACCGTGACAGCCTGCTCTCCTGTGACCACGAGTTTGATGGATCAGGTTCAATGGAACTGTCGTCAGTCTCCTCGTCGCTGTTGTCTTCAACTTTTCCATCTCTTAACTATCAACGTGATCCTCTGTTGCCACTGACGTCTCTTTAGACGCAAGTGTGGACAGGATAGTGTCCGACATGAAGGAGAACTCATCTAAAACAGAAAACATTGATGTTAGAGGTAGAATTTCATACAAAGAGGGGTGCTGAGTGCCACTAATAGATACAAATCTTCTAAATGTAAGTCTACATTCATCTAACTGAGTAGGTAGTAAGTAGGTATTAGCCAAGGCCTTAAAATGTCCTGTGGAGTTATCTACAAACATTACATACGTTTACATTCACCATCACTAATCAAAACACATTGTGTGCATCCTTGAGCTCAAAGAAATAAACTGAATGCATTTCCTTCCCCAAAAAACATTTGCAAAGCTGATTTTGAATCCAGAATTGTTTACACCGATGTTTACTTGCTAGCAGTCTTCTTCCTTTTGCTGGCTCCCTGCTGTATATGTTGACGCATATTGAAACCATTGGTAGGATTGTGTTTGCTTTATCCATGCATGTGCATCCTCATGTGAGTGCACAAGACAAACAAAACAGGGACACACTCTCATACAAAAACAGCTCCATATCATATATTCATAAAGTATATCTTCTTCTTCTTCTTCTTCTACTACCAGAGGTCAAAACCTCCACAGGGAGCTTTTAAATCGTCAGTAAGAAGGCGTTCATCTTTGCATCATCACTGTAGTCCTTTACTTTCATTCAACTTTTGCCACTGCTTTTGATGCTGCAGAATCCTCCTTAGATCTTCATGATCAGGGACAAACTGCTCAAACTGGAAGTCAGAGGCAGACAGGTCGAACATGGAGGGTACGTAAAAAAGTGGGAAATAAAAGCTATGTTCAATGAAATGTTCCGATCCAATCTCAGTTTGGAAATCTCCAGTGTTTAGCTTCATGACACCTGATTTGCAGTTGCAGTTCACCAAATCTTTCACAGCCAGAACCAATGAAATGACTTTCACCATGACATAATATTTGAGTCCTCATTTGGAAATACTGTTGTGCAGTACTTTGTAGAGACTAATTATCTACCCGTACAAGGTGAATTAATTAGTCATTACTTCACAAACTACTTTACCACCTTTACTTTATATAAAAATAACACTATTACTACAATTAAAATCATTTTTTAATAGCGAAGGACCCATAAACAATGGCTGGTCCCAAGGGGACTAGAAATAGCTTGATGCAGCTTACCTTTAAGAAACTTGGTACTGGGAGATATCTTCCAGTCGGTAAAAGAATTCCCACACCAGGATCTGGAGCGCTGTATAAAAACAGGGTCCATACAGTGCTGGGAACACCTTCTTAGACAGGAAAAAAATATATGGTGTTACATCGTTATTAAAGAAAATAGATCAATACAGATGGAGAGCGATATGTCACTAGAAATAGTTGAAGCAGTACTCACCTTGAGCAATTTCTCCTTTTCATATTTGTCACTGAGTAACGTCTGAACCAGCTCCACAAATGCTGACTTTGATATCTCCACCTCTCCTTGATCCTGTCATGAAGCCCAGGAGACGTTTATTTTCATAACTACACCCTGAGTTTTCCATTCAGGTGCCCCCTTATCAAAACATGATGTGGAATATTAATTGTTGCATCTCTATCTACTAATAAAACCACATTAATATTCCCTACCTCTTCCTCTTTGCACTTTATTGTACTCTTTTGGAAAATGTCGAGGTGCTCCTGGATAATATTGCAGTCAATAGGATGCACCTTATTTAGAAACTGCAAAATGATCTGAAAAACACAACAAATCTGCATTTATGTTCAGTAGTGTCTCAATTTGTAACTTTTCTCCACATATAATAAAAACAAAAAAAAATCATAAATCGTCCACATTCACTCACCCGAGCTCTCAGTCCCAGGATGAGTGGAGTCCTCTGCTCTGGGACCACCTCTGTCACCAGTGTGATGTATTCGGCCAGTTTGTTATACTGGTCTACATTTCTCTCTAGGGCCACCTGCTACATATAGGGTGGCCATTCGTCCGTACAAGTCATAATATTAATATGTATATGTATTAATATTAATATGTTAATATTACGACTCGTAATTACAATGATGAGTTACCTCAAAGTCCTCTTAATATTTTGCCTGAAACAATTTTGCTCTTGCACCACTCAAACAGCTTCAGTGAAATGATAGCTGATAGATGATGATGGCATTTTCTGACCCTGAGATCTTGAACAAAACACTGAAAGTCAGATACCTACTTCCTGGCAACTCAGTAAAGAATGGTAGCAGGTCTGGTGTAATCAGAGATGTCTTCAGTAGCTTCTGGGCAGAGTTTTATGAACGTTGTACCCTTGGAACAACTTTGAAAGTGCCCTTTCTCAGGCATGATTTCTGTGCTGCTACATGGAAAGCAATCGGGAGAATTCTTCTGAAAGGATTTCAAGATTGCCAGTACATGCCAATCAAACTTGCCCCTCCTTTTCTTGAGGGAAATGCTTTATGGGGCAGTGCACAGTGACCTGAAGACAAGCTTTCTTCAGTCTGTGAGCTCACAAGAACAAGATGTCCTCAGGCATGCATTGAATGATTTTAGCTCTGTTGATGGTGATGACCTTCTTGAAGTGCTTGACAGATATGAATGTAGGAAGAGGGTCACTGCTGCTACTCTTCCAGAAATCTTGGATGAAATATCTCACAAGGAACTTGTGCAGAAACCAACGTTTGTCATCGACTGCTGGAGGGAGATCACACAGCCACAGATTCATCTCAACTCTGGGGAACAGACCAAAATGTACAGTGACCTCAAACCCACCCCAAAGAAAGTAGCAGGAATATTAAACTTTCCTACAGGGATGACATCTTAGCAGGCAGAGGTGGCACAGCACCTAAAAAAAAGATATGTTTCCGTAGGCCTTGTTCTTATTCGGTGTGGTGATGTGGGTCATGTGGTGGTGCATCAGCCAGGTAGTAAAATCCGCTGTTCACCTGGTGAATGAATGAACTGAGAGGGAGAGGGGGGAAGTCGTACTTTTGCTGACCGCGTGATCTCGGAAATACACTGACTCAATGTTTTTATGGACTTTGGGAACACTCACCGTTTGTGTTTTAGCAGCAATAAATATGCATAAACCAGCAATCCAGAGATGTTTTTATTGAACAACCAGTGCGTCTGATACAGGCTGACATCAACCTCAGTGGAGGAACCAGGAGGCGCAGGGATGACATGAGAAAAAAAAAAAAAACAAGCAAATCCCTTGAAAGAAAAGTGGAATATTCACAAACCTTTAATTAGGCATCAAATGAACAAAACATTCTCCTCATGGGCTGTATCAAAATCCCTTTATCCCTTTATTTCTCCTTTTTTTTAATAGTACATTGAGACAGTGTTACTAAAATAATAATAATCAGACTGGTTTTCTTCTGAAAGAGCCAGACGCATAACGGAAGTCTTGTGGTTGCTATGGGAACACAGCTGACGAGTCTGTTGCCATTTTTCAAAATAAAATTTCACCTCTAAAAGGCTCACATGTAAACATTTATCTTTTCTGTCTTTTCCATCGTTGTAAAACGCAGAATTCTCGGAATTCTATAAAATATTAGAGATAAAGATATTAGCTTACAGCATGTGTTGCATTAAAGTACGAATTACTTAATTATTACTATTTTAAAATGAAAACAGTCAAGCAGTGCAGTAATCTGATTATCATACATTTGAACCTACTGGGAATAATTTGGAGGTCAACTAGAGTGTAAAATATTGATGATATATATAATGAATCATAAGTAAATAAATAAGTAATTAAGGAGTTAACTAACTCCAGAAGGTGGCGGTAATGCCACACCGAGGATGCAAGCTGCTCGAAGAAGAAGAAAACCCAGAAGTTCCAGTGTTGTTGCTGGCTAGATTACACTTTCCTCAAACTGTGTATATGCAATGACAGTCGTATACAAAGGATCTATGTTCAGATATCGAGGTCTGTATTTGATTCTATATGGTTCTGCTTATTAATGGCTCGATGTGTATTGTTGAATGTCTTTTTGAGTGCGTGTAGCAGACAGGAGTTCTTACAGCCTCTCTCTGCCTGTATCTTCTGTTAGATCCGGATCTTCCTCTGTCATCTGTTCGCCTCCTGGTTCCTCCACTGAGGCTGATGTCAGCCTGTATGTGGCAGGTGGCCCAGAGGCGAAATGTAGACCAGTATAACAAACTGGCTGAATTCATCACATTAGTGTCAGAGGTGGTCCCAGAGCTTATGAGCTACAAACAGAGGACTCAGCTCATCCTGGGACTGAGAGCTCGGGTGAGTGAATGTGGCTATTAAGACTTTTTCCTGGAATAATTTATCTGTTGAGAGAAAGCTGAGATGATTACACAAAGTGCAAATAATTATAGGCTTGCCGGCACATCTTCAACAGTGCTTCTACAGGGTTCAGGAGACTGTGACACCCTGCAGATGCACTGTCCACACATAGTACACTTCAGGTTTCCTCTTTTCTTATTTCTAATTCACCGATGTCCTTCAACTTCATCCAAAACATTATATCACCATGTGGATGCTCAGAATTATAACTAGAATTATTTGAGGTGAAATGTATAACTTGGAATAGAAAAAAATGCTCTTAGAATAAACATGTAAACAGCATTTTTAAAAGTGAATTTCAGTTTATGCATGTACAATAAAATGCCTAAAACAGACAGCTTCATTCAAACTATGCTTATAAACATAACTAAATGCAGCTGTGCTCTGAAATAAGATTATGCTATTTTCATTTTTTAACATTCAACAAGTAAAGCTCATATTTTTGTGGCTTGTCAAAGTGTTATGTTACACTTTTATTATGAGAGCGAAAGCATAAAGGTTTCATTTGTGTTTTTCAGCTCATCCTTGAATTGTTAAAGGGGATGGATAAAGTTGACTGTAAAGCTATCCAGGATCTTCTTAACATTTTCCAACAGAGGGCAACAAGCCACATGTATGAAGAGGTATGCCATGTTATTGGCAGCATGTTTTACCTGAGGACACAATGTCATACATGTCTTAGTAGTTTTAAATGACAGAGAGATAATTTTAATATGCTTATTACATATTGGAAACAATGTGTCAGACTGCACAGTTTTTTTTATTGTATTCGTTGAAATTATCTTTACATCCCAACAGCCCTAAATAAATCAAATGCTCTGAAAAACTTTAAATAATCTGGTAACTATGGCTCTCCCCTGCCTGTAATAAGCTCAGCCAATCATTTAATTCGGCCCAATGAAATGATTGGCTGGCCTACCTACAGACTACCCTGCCTCTGGGTGGAACTTTTTTCCCATTACATTCATAATCTAGCTGTCTCCAACTTTACCTACCTTAGCTTTAAGTAGGAGAGACATTTAAATTAAAAGCTGATAATTCATTTGTGTTAATAAACTCCTCCTTTGCTTTGTGATAGGACCAAGATGCAGAGGTGGAGATTTCAAAGTCAGCATTTGTGGAGCTGGTTGAGACATTGCTGAGAGACCAATCAGAAAAAGACAACTTCTTCAAGGTGGGTCTCACACAAACATTTTTTAGGTTTTTCAAAAAGCTGTCAATATATACATCTACCTTATGTTTTATATTGTTTTCCTGTCAAAGGAAGTCTTCTCGGTCCAATATGGAGCTCGTTTTGATACAGCGCTGCAGATCCTGGTGTGGGAGTTCTTCTACCGACTGGAGCAGTTCTTCCCAGTACCGAGTTTTTCACAGGTAGGCGGCAGGGTGACTGTCCAACTGCCCTTCTGTTCACTTGATCCCCAAATTCTGGCTGATACATTATTTCTAGGTAATTAGCCATTGTTCCAACTTTGTAGTAGTGGCTAGTAGAGTAAAACTGTTTGTGAATTACAGAACTGGAAGGGCTAAAATGGCTTTTTCTCCAGCATCAAAATATAAAGTATAGATCCATGTAGTAAAGAATGATCTTGAAAGAAGAAGCAGGATTTTATAAATAAATATCTACTCACTTTTTTTTTTTTTCAGGTATTCTCCATATTTGACATTTCTTCCTTTGACTATGAGTTTGAGCAGTTTGTTTCCAACCCTGAAGACCTGAAGAGGATTTTGCAGCATCAGCAGGAGCATCAAAAGTTGACTAAAAGTAAGAATCTGTTAACATTTTCTGTTTTATTTCTCCCATGTACACTCAACGTGTACCGAAGCACCTTTTTTACTGATATAATGTGCTTTTGTCCCTTCTTACCATCTAATATCCACCATTTAATCTCTTACAGTTACCATAGTGTATATATTGACAGTGAGTTTAATTGGGAATATGCATTACCAATTGTCAGTTTAAGTTAAATAATCAGTGAGTAAAATGTGGCACCTTCCACGTCTGACATGATAATATATAAATGATACGTGGTAGAGAATTTCCATATAACATAATAGTATTCTTTATTGACTCTGTAATATCTATATATTCTGGCACTAGTAGTGCTGCATTCCTGCCTGAAGACCTGCACCCCTTTAGTGCTTTTTACATGGAATTTCACCTCTAACATTCATGTTGTTTCTCAGGTGAATTCACCTTCATGTCGGACACTATCCTCTCCACACTCGCATCTAAGCTGACTTTGGCAGCAGCTGAAGATCATATTGATGAAAAACTCAATCCGGAAATGACGGAGCAGAACATATTGAAGCAAGAAGACAGCTGTGGCATAGAAGACATTTGTGAGGATGATGAAGAGACTGACAACAGTTCCATTGAAACTAATCCAAACTCTCCGCTGCACGAGTACGGGCTGTCACCACTCACTTCCTCTCCATGTTCTGAAGAAGCTGGTGCAGCCGGTGATGAAGGTGAGAATCTCTTGATTTTCTGGATAGTCAGACAAATTAATCCAATTAGTTTGCATTGATTATATCTGTTATGTTGTGAAGTTATATTTGGACAAAGTCTTAACTAGTTTCTGTTGAGTGAATTCATCTCAAATTGTTGTTTCCTGATGGCAGAAACAGCTGGTGAAGCCGCCTTCCAGCCACCCAGATGCTCAGTGGAAGAACTGAAGGAACATCTGGATCTGAGTAGAAGCAAGGAGCCATCAGAAGAGAGCCAGTCATTGACAAGAGTCGGAGAAGATGCCAGCGAGGACTCCGTAAGAACCAATAAAAACACCTGCCTGGAGTGTGGCAAGACTTTAGCATCGCCTGCCTCCTTGAGAAGACATCATTTTCTTCACTCTGCAGTACGGCCATTCAAGTGCACTCAGTGTGACAAGTCATACACATGTAAACCAGACCTGAATCGACATTTCCTAATTCACTCAAAAGTCGTGTCTATTCCTTGCAGCCTTTGTGAGAAGAGATTTGGTTCTCAGGCTTCACTTAAAGTTCACATGCGAGTTCATACTGGAGAGAGGCCGTTTGCCTGCTCGTACTGTGGCAAGAGGTTCTTGAACAATTTTGCCCTGAAGTCCCACGTGCGCATTCATACCGGCGAGCGCCCGTATGCCTGTACTTTTTGCGACAAGAAATTCATACAGTCACACTGTCGCACTGTGCACCTCAGGGTTCATAAGAAAGAGAAACCGTACCTGTGCAGCACATGTGGTATGTCCTTCTGTAGCTCCGGGGCCTTGCTGGTGCATTCACGCATTCACACAGGTGAGCGGCCTCATCAGTGTGACTTGTGTGGAAAACGTTTCAGGAAAGCTGTACAACTGACAGTCCATCGGAGATTCCACACGGGAGAGAGGCCGTATTCTTGCTCACAGTGCGACAAATTGTTCGCCTGTAGCTCGGGACTGAAGAAACACACGAGGACACACACGGGAGAGAAACCATACCAGTGTTTAACTTGTCACAAGACGTTTTCCGAAAAATCCAACATGAGAAAACATCTGAAAGTCCACAAGAACATCTAGCATACTGTTTTTGGAGACCGGTTGTTGGAACGCTTGCAGTATCTTAAAGGATAAATGAAAGCCTTGTTATTTCTGTGTCAGAACCAGCTGTTTCGGTGCGTCTTCGTATCACTAAATCAAATGTACGTATGTAAATATGGACTTGGGACACTTGAATCGTACATGTTGGAGCATATATTATTAAAGAGCATATTGTTTAGGGTTAGCATAGGTCAAAGACTTGATTTTAGTGTCTAGTTATGTTCAGGTAATCTTTGAAAAAAGTCAAAAAATGTACTAACAAAATATACCATCATTAAGGAGTGCTCATGTGTGAGATAGTAAGGATAGATTCTTTTCTACTTTAAGAGTACCTGCTCTTTTCTATTTAGTCATGTTTCTCACAGTACAAACACTATTTTGTGTTGCATGTATCTCCTGATCCCAGTGCGACTGCCACTCTTCCATGCGATACCCTTTCCCTCTGATTTTGAAGGTTTAAATTGCAGTGTCTATGTATGAGCTTCTTTAGCTAGTCTGCCCTCTCTCTCAGCATCCAGAAGATGAGTCGGTTGTCAGTTTAAGATTTCAGCTCAAAAAGCTCACAGTATCTGTTCTTTCTTTTTTAACCATTGTAAAAAACAGATGATTTTGAATTTATAATAATGTTGTCGAATGACTCATAGGCAAAGTGTTCTGTAACTCTGAGGAACTCAAAGGCACAAGATTAGTATTTTTATGATTTTTTCTGTCTGACCATCCACTCTTTGTTGAGTAGAGTAAGTCTTGTGAATTCTGACACATCTGTAGCTGAATTTATTAAACCTCTTCATTTTCTTAATTCAGATTAAAGTACTGTTTATAATCTTTGGTACACACATTCATTAGGGTCAAATACAGCATAAACCCATTAACCATAAATCCACCATAAGCAGTATTTGGCACAGTATTTCAGTATGTTCACAGATTTTAACCTTTGAACTAGAGCCTGACCAATAATTTCTGTTGTTGGGTATCTAGTTGTGAGAAAACAGCAACTAAGTAAAGTGAGCAAATGTGTGAACTTCATAAACAAGGTAAGATTAGGAGAAAATAAACAAATTCCAAATCAAACCCATTGTGATTTTAATTCTTTGTATGTGGTTGGCTGCCTGAACCTGTGTATGCAGCAAACTGATGAGGTGATAGTTTGAATTAAGATAATATTATCATGTGTGGCTGTGGCCATCGCACCAATAAATCAGCCGATATTAGCTTCTTACAGATATATCAGTAATTACAAGAAATTTAAAAACAGAAATGCCAAAGACATGTTTTGAAATAGTGTCACCACTCAAGTTTATTTATTTTTCAGATAGAAAATGTCCTGCCCTGTAATTTCTTGGTAACAAGAAATGTACCCATAAAAATTTTATGTTATGGGTCATGTAAAGAAAAATAATATCAGGCCAATATATCAGTATCCACATTGGCCTAAAAAATCATGTTTTAGAAAGGTTATACTCTACTTTTTTGGGCCTTTCACGCCTTTTTTTGGATAGTGACAGCTTGAAGATAGACAGGAACCTGGGGAAAGAGAGAGAATGACATGCAGCAAAGGACTGCAGCTTGGAAGCAAATCAGATTTTCAATAAGCACACAGACACCTTCCACTTTCTGCAGATGAATGTACCAAACTCTGCACATATATCATTCTGCAAAGTAAAGATCAAACAACAAGGAAAAATCTTTTGTCAGCAAGTTTTATTGACTTACAGTTCTTTCTCTCAACAACATAACACAAACCTAAGCAAGTGTTAAACATTATTGTCTTTTAAAACGCAATGTACATTTACATACACTCCAATGTGTAATAGTTTAATTTATATTTACATACATACATGTTAGTGATTTACTGATATCAAGATTTACCAAAACAGCTTGTCCTGACATAGAAATGAACAAGGCTTTCATTTATCATTTAAGATACACAAACATGCCAACAACCAGTCTCCAAAAACAGTATGCTAGAAGTTCTTGTGAACTTTTAGATGTATTTTCATGTTGGATTTTTGGGAAAACGTCTTGTGACAAGTTAAACACTGGTATGGTTTCTCTCCCGTGTGTGTCCTCGTGTGTTTCTTCAGTCCCGAGCTACTGTGGAAAGATTTGTTGCACTGTGAGCAAGAATACGGCCTCTCTCCCGTGTGGAATCTCCGATGGACTTTCAGTTGTACAGCCGTGGCAAAACTTTTTTCACAGGACTCACACTGATGAGGCCTCTCCCTTGTGTGAGTGCGTGAATGCACCAGCAAGGCCCCAGAGCTACAGAAGGACAAACCACATGTGCTGCACAAGTATGGTTTCTCTTTCGTGTGCATCCTGAGGTGCACAGTGCGAGGATACACTTGTGTGAATTTCTTGTCGCAAAAAGTACAGCCATACGGGCGCTCACCGGTATGAATGCGCACGTGGGACTTCAGAACAGAATTTGTCAGGAACCTCTTGTCGCAGTACGAGCAGACAAACGGCCTCTCTCCACTGTGGCGCCGCAGATGAATTGTGAGCAAAGTCCGAGAACTAAATCTCTTCTCACAAAGGCTGCAAGCAAAGGACATGACTATAGGTTTGGAATGGGTCAGGAAATGTCGGTTCAGGTCTTTCTGACTTTTATATGACTTGTCACACTGGGTGCACTTGAACGACCGTACCGAAGAGTGAACGACATGATGTCTTTTCAAAGAGGAGCGACATGCAAAAGTCTTGCCACACTCCAGGCAGGTGTTTTTATTGGTTCTTACGGAGTCCTCGCTGGCATCGTCTCTGCCTCTTGTCAATGACTGGCTCTCTTCTGATGGCTCCTTGCTTCTACTCAGATCCAGATGTTCCTTCAGTCCTTCCACTGAGCATCTGGGTGGCTGGAAGGTGACTTCACCAGCTGTTTCTGCCATCAGGAAACAACAATTAGAGATGAATTTACTCAACAGAAACTACACGCCAAGTGGAGTTTTTAATGACTTCACAGTCAACACTTGTATTGCAGTACAACTATTTTTTTCTGATTATCCAAAAAACGGAACAATACAAGAGATTCTCACCTTCATCACCTGCTTCTTCAGAACATGGAGAGGAAGTGAGAGGTGACAGCCAGCCAGAGTTTGGATTAGTTTCAATGGAACCATTGTCAGTCTCTTCATCATCCTCATATATGTCTTTTAGCTTCAGTGTCTTCTGCTCTGTCTTTTCTTTGCTGTCTTCACCTCCCTCATCCATTTTTGGATCAATATGTTCTTCAGGTGCTGCCGAAGTCAGTTTAGATGCGAGCGTGGAGAGGATAGTGTCCGACATGAAGGTGAATTCACCTGAGAAACAGAGACAACATTAATGTTAGAGGTAGGTGCCTTTCTATATTCTAATATGGTAATTGTAATAGATTATATGGTGGGTATCAGCTGGTGGATGGGATTTACTTACTTTGAGTCAAATGTTGATGCTCCTGCTGATGCTGCAAAATCCTCTTCAGGTCTTCAGGGTCGGAGACAAACTGCTCAAACTCATAGTCAAAGGAAGAAATGTCAAACATGGAGAATACCTGGAAAAGAAGAGTGGGTACATATAAACATATATATTTATAAGACTCTAAACTCCTGCTTGTTTCTACATGATCATTCTTTACTACGTATCCACATTTATAATCAGTGTTGTTATAGGAGAAACGGCATTAAACAGCTGTGATTCTGAAACATTATACCACTACTACAAAGTTGGAACAATGGCTAATTAACTAGAAATAATATATCAGCCAGAATTTGGGGATCAAGTGAACAGAAGGGCAGTTGGACGGTCACCCTGCCACCTACCTGTGAAAAACTCGGTACTGGGAGGAACTCCTCCAGTCGGTAGAAGAACTCCCACACCAGGATCTGCAGCGCTGTATCAAAACGAGCTCCATATTGGACCAAGAAGACTTCCTTTGACAGGAAAAAAATGTAAACATTAAATTGTTTTACAGATAGACACATAAGGTAGATGTATATATTAATGGCTTTTTGAAAAACTGTTGGTGTGAGACCCACCTTGAAAAAGTTGTCTTTTTCTGATTGGTCTCTCAGCAATGTCTCAACCAGCTCCACAAATGCTGACTTTGAAATCTCCACCTCTGCATCTTGGTCCTATCACAAAGCAAAGGAGGAGTTTATCTACATTGCATTAACATAAACAGTTTATGAACTTCTGCATCTACATCTGAAAGTAACAAAAAATATTTCAGGGTATGGTAAAAACCTTAAGGGTATACTGGTGTTATGGCAGTTTGGCTAAGGACATAAAAATGACTCTCTCTTTGTCTGGTATATAGCTCTTACTGACATTGTGTCCTCAGGTAAAAACACCATGTCATTAACATTACCCACCTCTTCATGTATACAGTTTGTTGTCCTCGGTTGGAAACTGTTTAGATTATCCCAGATAGCTTTACAGTCAACCTTGTCCGTCCTCCTTAACAATTCAAGCACGAGCTGAAAAACACAAATGAAAGTAAAACTGTTTAACTGTGTCCCAGAGCCAAACACAGAATCTTATAAGCAATGCTGCATTTGGTTAGCTTTGGTTGTGTTTATAAGCAACGTTTAAATGAAGCAATCGTCTGTTTACATGCATAAACTGATAACAGGATAAAAGGAGCTCAGTGATACAGAATTAAAGTGCATCTGCAGGCTGTCACACTCTCATAAACCCTTAATGCTTTGCACTATTGAAGATGTGCAAAGTACCATTTATAACAAACCAGGTTGAAAAGGGCACAGTTGTGTGGGTATGTTGCTGTAGGTGGAATGATTGGAAGCATTCAAACTGTATCAGGCATGCATGATTTTATAGCCCTTTGATGATCTGTAACTCCAGCAACAGTGTCAAGTGCCAGCAGTTCAATCAACTGAATCATACAGCTAACAGCCTTACCATTGTGGAGAGATTATTTTAATCACTACACATTTTGCAACGTCAGTTCAATTTGTGTACCCTAACACATTGTCTCAGTGGGCTTTAACCAACAGTAATCCATCCATTATCTATAACCGCTTATCCTTTTGAGGGTTGAGAGGGGGCTGGGGCCTAACCCAGCAGACATTGTCTCTGTGTGTCAGCCATGGGATGAACTGGTGACCTCTCCAAACAACCATTCACAATCAAATTTACACCTACGGGAAATTTAGAGTCACAAATTAACCTGCATTTCTTTGGACTGTGGGAGGAAGCCGGAGCACCCAGAAGAAACTCACACAGACTCAGGAGAACATGTAAACTCCACACACCAACTGTAAACACTGTACTAATTTGCACTTTCTGGTGTAATCATCACAGTCCCGGTTGGCATTTTGACTGCTTTCCCTCCACACAAATAATCTTAATAGCCACATTCACTCACCTGAGCTCTTAGTCCCAGGACGAGCTGAGTCTTCTGTTTGTAGTTCAGAAGCTCTGGGACCATCTCTGTCACCAGCGTGATGAATTCAGCCAGTTTGGCATACTGGTCTACGTTTCGCTCCTGGGCCACCTGCCACATACAGGCTGACATCAACCTCAGTGGAGGAACCAGGAGGTGCAGGGATGACAGAGGAAGAAGAGGACCTAGTAGAATATGCATGCAGTTAAACAGATAAACACCACATTATTAACTTATCTCAGAAGTGTAGAGATGCATAAAAAAATTATGTTCATCTTCCAACACATTCAACCACACCCTGCTCTAGAATAAGGGTTACCTACTACAGTAAATGTTTATATGGGTGCAATTAATGTTGATTAGTCTGACAATTATTTTTTCAATTAATCGTCTTAATTAAAAGTCTATCAAATGTCAGAAAATATGAAATCCATCCATTAAAATTTCCTAGAGCTTTTAGATTGCTTGTTTTGTCCAGCCAACAGTCCAAAAACAAAAAGATATTTAATTTACAATGATATAAAAGTGAGAGAAGCAGCTAATCTTATCATTTGAGAAGCTGGAACCAGAAAATATTTAATATTTAATTAATTGTATGACAATTAATGTGATACAAAGATGATTAAATCGTCAAGTAGTGCGTTTAGTATACTTTTTTTTTTAATTTAATAGAAACAGGATTAATGTGTAACATGTAGTTTCTGGTCCACACCAGTAGGTGGCGGTAGCGAGCCCAACACGCTGGTTGCCAATCCTGTATCTTCCTGGCCAAGAGGCCATATATATATCAGAGTAAATGAAAATATATATAAATCAGAGTATCAATATAATTCATATCAGGTCAGAGAGAGAGAGAGAGAGAGAGAGAGAGAGAGAGACTGTTCCGAGGCTGTTCTATACCAGGCAGATGTGCATTCACATCACTCTTTGCCCTCTTTTCTCTGCCCATGGCATTCTTCTTCTCTCGCTCCAGACTTTCCACTCTTCCTAAGGCTTCATTGAGTCTGGTCTTAAGAGCAGTAGGAGAAGAAGCAGGCAAGGCATAGCCATGATCCTAGTAGAAAGAGGGATGAACATGGTTTGAGTGATGTTTCACTTCACACACATCACTTTGAAACCACTAGTGTATGGCCCACATTCTCTCTTATAGTCATCACCTGTCAAAGCCACTGCCAGCACCGTGTGTGTGTGTGTGTGTGTGTGTGTGTGTGTGTGTGTGTGTCAGGAATGCATGCTCAACATGTCTTCAATTGTGTGTGTATGGGTTTATTCATGAGTGTGTTTAATATGAGTGGCAGCAAACAAGTGAGATTTTACTGTCATGGACCATTATGATATGATGTTTAAAGTAGAAATACTCACATCAGTAGGCTGAGGTTGTGGGTGTGAGGTTGCAGTTTCTGGGGCATCCTGAAAGGCCACGGACAGGCTCTCTTCAGCTCTTCTGGAGGTAGACGTAGTCCTGCCCTTTCCCGGCTAAAATGAAGAAGCATAATACTTGAAAAGAATATACAGGGATAAGTATCTCACCCTGCCCTGTGATTGATAATAGAATATTTACATTTATGAATGCTAATAGCCTTATGATGATACACCTTCTATTTGGAGGTGAACCGGGAAGCTGAAGATGGATGGAATAACACCATCTCTGAGTCGGACAATCTGACCTGTCCTATCAAAATCGCCCTGTTTAAAATGTTCACAGCAAAGCACGGATGAATCACTTGCAGTGAATCCTTCCCTCCTCAAAGCCACTTCCCACTTCTTCCTCACATCTTTGTCTTTGGGAAACCTTCAAAATGAAAACGGGAGATTCGGGGGAGTCTACACAAAAATATTTTACAAAGGAGGTCAAGCTTATTTTCTTCTTTCAAATTTCTTACAACCTTTCTTCAACAAAACTCCTATTTTGATGCATATCTGTTGATAATGAACCAAAGCTGCTTAAATTGTGAATAAGCTTGTTTGCAAACTATTCTACAATCAGATGTTCTGTTGTCTGTACTTTTAAAGCAACACTATGTAGTATTTCGACCTTAAAATAATGTTTCTAAACTCATTGAAGTGGTAGAAAAATGGTTAATAGGATGAATGGTGCCGCTGCTGCAGCCTGAGCGGGGTCGCGTCGGATGACACTGCACTATGTAACTTCCGTGCGTGGGTAGGAACACCGTGGTGAGCTCCAGAGACCGAGCTCAAGCCCGGTCTCCCTTCTCCACTCACCCACACACAAGCGTCCTGTGCTCGGCTGCACGGCCGGCCAGCCTCCCTCGGGCTGGGCCTACCGGCAATAACGACGGCTACTGGCAACGGTGCCTGTCCCAGCGGTGCCATCGCTACCAGCAACGGGACCGCCGGCAAGGTACCAGTAACGGCGATGACACCGATACCGGTAATGACGGCGGCGACAGCATCGGCAAAAAATTCACATAGACACAGGTAGCAGACAGTAATTAGGGACCGAGCCAGAAACCACTGGAGGTCCCTATTGTATTTGTTATGTTTCTTATTCTTCTTCTTACCTATTATTATTTTAAACACCTTGAAAAAATTTATATTCTATGCGTCGCTTACGGGTCAGCCACTAGGTGGCACTACTATCAAAATGAGCACTTCCTGTAAATTTTTCGTCCAAAGACGAAGTGGACCATTTCTCCACATTGGTATGTCCGATTGACACCAAGCTTGGGTCCATAGTTCCCCATGTCTTCCTTAAGCATCGTGCACAATTTCAGGCCATCGCCACAAGGTTGCGCTCTTTAAAATGAAGTTTATATCTCCGCATCGGCACGTGTGATTTACACGAAACTTGGTACGATGCTTCCCCATGGCTCCCTGAGGCTCGCTAATAAATGTGTCAACAATCCGCCACTAGGTGGCGCTCTGGTGGCATGGTAAATCACTGTGGTGCCTGTAGCTCACATACCAAAAATCGTGTTTGTAGCGCCCCCCACAGGATTTAAAAAAATCAGCCCTGGCGCCACATTTCATCTATTTGTATGAAACTCGGTAGGCACGTGTAACATGCCGAGACGTACAAAAAAGCCTCTTGGACCCATACCCCAAACCCCACGGGAAGTCGGCCATTTTCATTCGAACTCCTCCTAGGGAATTCATCAGATCTGCTTCAAAATTGGTCTGTACAGTCAAAACACGGTGCTGATTAAAAGTTGTGCTATTTGAGACTGTATGTTGAAGGGCGTGTCTGTGGCGTGCCGTCAAAGTTGGCCATTTTGAATTCTGTGGTCATACAAACTAGATGAAAAGTTAAGCTATTTGAACACGTCTACATGACAATATTCAGACACAGTGATAGCGCCACCTACTGGCAACAGAAAGTAAGCACTGCGTGGCGATTCTGAGCTGATTTACGTGAAATTTTCATGTTGTGGTCCGCATGTGTTACGACGGCAAGTGACACAGCCGCAGCCCACCCCCCGAGTTGCGTGGAGTGTGAGGAGTAGCATCCAGCGGAAGCCCCTGACGTGACAGAATTAAGGAATTTAGTGTTAAATAAATTTACTTTTTAAAAACAGTAGGACACTCCTGGAAAAAGTGCCACTTGGCAATGATTTTGTGTGGATATGACCGTCGTGTATGACTGCAGCGGCAGTGCCAGGTGTTCAGCTTTCGGTTGTACACAACCATCACACGCTGGAGTGGGCTGTAATAAGCCACAGATGGTTCATAAACAGACACACAAAGACTAGGCAACATCAGAGAGGTGGAGACAGTAAAGGGGATGTTGTTCTCCTGGGCTTGAGATTGACGCCTCAGACATTCCTTTTTCTTATCTTCACCAAACCACCACTTACTGACCATGTCATCCAAAACATCCTCTCTACGATAAGTCTCTTTTGCAGTGGAAGAGCAGTAATCTATGGACTTGAGGTGGACACACCTAAAATTAGAAAGGTTACTTCTTCGAGCTATGTCAGCATTTCTCTGGCAGTCGAGGGACTCGCACCTGATGTTGTGGCATTGACCCCATGTCTTATGTTGGACATGAAACGGGACACTATCACCGTGCATTGTTTTGGAGACTGCATACACACCATGTTGAGGATCTAAACATTCACTATGTAAATGTGACTGTTTGTTTACATCCATGCAGCCGTGCTTTGTGTGTGTCTTTGGATGTGACGTTTCAAGTTTTTTTTATTCATCTTTAAAGAACACTGGGGACAAGCCACTGAAAAAAACCTTGCTCCTCCTCACTTCTGCACTGGCATCCAGATTACTTGTGTTGACCTCCTGCTCCTCCCCTTTGGCCTCCTGCTGATGCTGCTGCTCCTCCTCCTCCTCCTCTTTGGCCTCCTGCTGCTGCTGCTCCTCCTCCTCCTTGGCCTCCTGCTCCTCTTCAACAGCTTGTTGGACACACTGTCCCAAATGGTCTACAAACCTGTCTCTTCTTTCTAACAACTGTTTGCAGGAGGGACAGTGGAAGTGTGCAGTCGGCTTGCACTCCAAATTACATTTAAATATTGTGTAGTCTGAAAAAGAAATGCATTTCAAATGTCAAACTACAACATTTTGTTTCCACATGTTGATGCAGCATTTGCAGTTAGCTACATGTGTCAGTGGTCAATGACACGCCCCCCGAATGCTTTCTGCCTTTTGGACTTTAAATTATACAATCAAAATTAAAGTGTAAATACTAAGCTTTAATTCACCCTCCATGACCGAGATTGGGACACGTGTAAAGAATACAGTTACCTTTGTGTTGCACTGCACGCTTTGCGTGGCCTTTGAGATGTTTGTGGACCTTACTCCAAATTGTTGGTTTGAAGATCTGAGGCCTGCACAACGGGCAGTGGACAGAACTGCAGCAACTGGTGCATCTCTCTGGTGTTGGTGTGACCCCCCTAGGCTGTATGGTGATGTGTGGGACAGACTGCAGTAGAGTACATTACAGTGCAGAATAATAAAGTTGGGAGTATTGGAGGGGAAGGGAAGAGAGGTACAATGTTGTTACTTGAGAATTGTGTAAAAAAAAACTGAATGCATATTTGCAATGTATGGTGAGGACTGAAGTTAATAATAGTATCCATTAAAAAAATATATAAAAATACATTAACAGATACTATTTCTACGGCGGTCTTTGTGTATTATTTTCCGCAGAGGCTGGCTTGTCTTTTCATCATTGTGGTTCTCGGGGGTTTTCATTAGCGCTGGCAATTACAATAAACCTTTAGCGGCCGACAAAAAAAAAATCTGAATGCAGGAAAAACCCCCAAAAACTTTTATAAAATAGTTACCTAGGCAACATGATCGACGTATCAAAGCTTACCTTCTTTTTAAATGTCTCCATTATTTGGCGTATTGCAGTGACAGCGAGTATCTTCAAATTCCCGCGTATCTTCAAAAAAGAAAACAAAAAACGTAATTGCTTGGTACGCTACGTCACTTCCGTCAAGTCACAACGGACATTTAAAGAGTAGACGTCCCGCGGCCCGTCAGCGCCAGAGGGCAGTAGCGGTCGATACGGCGTCTACTCTTTATTTTCTACCTAACTGAGCGACCAATAACCGCTTTTTAGGTCATTAAATGTATAATAATCTCTCTCTAACACGCCGTTGTCAGATACAGACCTGGACTTCCTGCCATTTCAGGAGCGCGTCAGCTAGCTTAGCTTCAGCTAGCCGTTGTAGCCAGTTATTTATCTGGTTAGTAACTTAGCAGAGTTGTGAGCTTGTCAGACAACGTGTACGTGTTGTCATAAGACTGTATACACATCCCTGCCACATGCTTTAAGGATATTAAAGCCTAGCTTACGTTTTTAGGCATCAACAACAACAACAACAACAAAAATCGTTCGCTAGCACTTCCGGTTCTCTCTTTTCAAAATAAGAGGGCAACTCGGCGCGTTAACATCCCCTTTGAATGACTTGAAGAGAATGAAGAGCAAGGGATTGCCTGGCAAGTAGTTAATTACACTTTTCTTACACATTACAGTCTATATAAATGTACATACTTGTGTATATAGGCAGATGGATGACAAATTATTATTATTATAAGGAACTATACAGTGTAAGATCACAGTCAGGTGGTGCTGTTGAAAACCTAATGTGTATCTAAGAAATGACATCCTCCTCTAATTTCTAATTTAATTTAATTATTCGTAATATAGCGCTCTGAAAAGGGTCTTTCTGCATAACTAGTACATTTACTCTTGATATTTTGAGCATTGTCTTTTAGTGAGGAGCTGCAGAACAGCTTCAGTGCTCCTTGTCATATTCTGCAAGTCTGTGTTTAAGGGATGAAACTCTATTATTCCTTCATTTGGTGTTTTGATGGTGGTGATGGAGAGCAGTGTCTAACACATCCATCCAATCTATCAGCGTTCAATTGAGTTCAGATCTGGTGGCTGTGAACGGCCATAACATTTGACTCACATCATTTTAAGCCTCATAAAACCTGTCATTGGCTCAATTTATAGGCTAGTTATTACCGCTGTAATAAACATCAGCCTCTCTGCTCAAGCTCGAAGCCACTCTGTGCACATTTTAGGGGGACAGAATGTTTTTGAGATTGTTCCATCAGTTTTATGACAAAGAGCATAAAAGCTGCGCAGTCCGCTCTGCAGACAGAGCCGAGCAGGAATGCTTTGATGGACCTCACTAATGGAAATGGGGTTCTCCACAGAGTCCCAGTTGATCCTGCAGATGTGTTATCAGATTTCAGGCCACTCACATACTCTGAGGGCATTAGTGAGGTGAAAAGTTCAAAATTGCAGCACCACAAGGGTCACAAGCCAATCATTTAACTCAGATGAATGAGATTGGATGAATTGTTGAATGTGAATGAGACTGTGCAAAACAAATGAGTTAATAACTAATTTAGGTTTTTGTCTATAAAGTTTTAACATTGTAAAAATGAATGAATAAAGGGAGGCAAATGGGTTCGTCTATGACTGGTGACCTTGCTCTGAAGGGGAAAAGAAAAACATGGAGGTGCAGTTTGAGCTGTTCCCACCAATCATTGCTTTTTTTAAAAATAAAATCAGTAAAAGACATCCAGTACTTTGCACCAACCAAGTATTCAAAACATTACAATTATTATGAGAACTTAATATGAGATACATACAGCAGAGATATAGATCCATATACATGTAAATATACCCAGTGATGAAAAGTACTTTTTAATTTCATACTATTTTATACTCCACTACATTTTTCTCTCCACATACATATGACCAACCTATGAAACTAGATTAAATATACGGTACTATAAAAATGCTCAACCTCGCCCAGCTGCAACATGAATGAATCAGTCATAATAAACCAATTCTATAATATATATTATATTTGTGTAAGTTTGAAAGGCTCTATTTCATATAACAGATGCTTTAGTTAAATTCTGAATGCAGGACCTTAACCTTGTAATGGAGTATTTTTAAATGATGATATTTCTACTTTTACTTAAATAAAACCTCTAAATATCTTTTTCCTTCCTTTCCTTTCCTTCCCATATACACACACAAACCAGTCCTTAAACTGGTCAGACCTTTGCTAAATGGAAAGCCAATAGCGCCATCTAGTGTTGTGGAACCCGAACTGCCTGCTTGATCCGGTCTTCGTCAGCCAACCAGGAAAGAGGGCTTGCCGTGATCTGGACTGAGGCGGATGAGACCAGAAACCTTTGTTCTGTCTCTCCTCCCAATGCGAGATTAAAAAAAACAAAAAAAAACAAGAGCCTATCAATGCGTCCTTCAGACCTGCGCTCGCATTTTGTGCGTTGGCGACCGGCTAATGGATGTTTTATTAATCAGAAATTAGCGGAATTTATTTATTAGGCTCATAATCATTTCCCCCCCCGGTCGCTACAACCAGAGGAGGACACCTGGACGTTTTTTTTGTTTTTTTTTTATTCTGTCAGCTGCTAAATGGAAATAAAACGCGGGGCTGAAAGTGGAAGCAGTCGAGGTGCGTGTACCCTGATGAATAATCAGTTTTCTATTGATCCCTGATCCGCGTTGTGATCAGTGACATTAACATACATCATGGAAATTAACTGCTTATATTTCGCATAATATCCCTGCAGTGTTTCTATCAGGACTAACTTGATCTCATCTCAAGTGCTGGCTTTATTCCTCCCCCCCATCACTCCATCAGGTACTCATCAATGTAATGTAGTAGTTTCCTTTTTTAGTATTGATCAGATCATTGTTGTAGTTTTCTTTCTCTCTCCCTCTGTAGCTTCCTATATCTTCAGAAAGTCAATAGGATGCTCAGAGTTTGTTTTGAGTTTGATGGATGCTGCTGTCAGTGCACCTGAGAGCACCACTGTCATGTCATAATTTCAGCCGGCACTTCGCCACTATAAATCAAGTTCACCGTTGCATACTGTGAGCTCTTGGCCAGCATGCAAAGTGTCAGGTGGATGAGGTTGACTGGGATTGTTCAGATTGGCCCTTGAAGTGCTGATAAATTATATGTGTCCTAGTTCAAGCAAAGTGCCATTGTGGTGGATAATTTTTCCTTGTCTAAACAACAAAAGTCATCTGAGGGGTTATAAAAACTACAGCCAGCTACAACCCAGACAGACTGTGGAGGGAAGAATCCTTTCAGACTGACCCGACACCATAAGGAGATCCAAAGGTTAACTACAGTAATAATAATAATCTTAGATAATTACTGTACTAAAACAGTAAACAAGACACATTTCAGAGCGGCTGTCCTTCTGTTGCGGCTTAAAATCAGAGCGAAAACCTGAAAACTCTTTAATGCACGTTGGTGATGCTAAGTTATGTGAGAAAATTTTTATATTTAGTTGATTTGTTTTAGTTTTTCACATTGAAATATGTCCCTTTTTAAAAGTAGGAGTGCGCAATCCAGGTAAAATCCTCAATTACCGTGTATGTAATTTTACTTTGCGAGTTTATTATATGTTGTGTTATTGTACATTTCTGATAAATCAATTGAGAAAGTAGCTAACAAAACAAATCTCACCGCAAGGTCCATTTAGTACCTTTTCTTATCACACACATCCTCAGTAGAGCGAGTTTTATGTGTAAAATTGTAAGAATAACCACATGTTTGTTTACCTGTTTTATCACACTGATGCAAAATGTATATTAAAATCCAATATTACCAATTTTCCTTAAAGCGGTCCTGCTCAGTGATTTGCAAAATTGCCTCCAAAGGTCGAATACAACCAGAGATATTAAAGGAATAGCTATAAATGGTACTGCAAAATCAATAGACGACAAATACATTTATATAATCTCTTGGGGGAAAGACTTGCCTCATAAAACTGTAATGCAACCAACAGAGATTTGTGCAGGTGTTTTCATGTAACCCGGAGACTGGGGTTACCCGTCTTGCATTGCTCACACCTGCTCTTATGTTTTTTTATCAGGTTATTAGTCATTTGAAAGATTCGCTGTTGCCCATTGATGTCTCTCAAGAAAAACAGGCTGGATTTTAATAAAGCGTTAACTCATTTACTCGTTTGGTAATCCTTTCTCTGTCTGCAGGTAATGATCTTCCAGTCCACTATCTACGCCTCCTGGCCCCGCCCTTGCAGCTTTTGTCAGCTGCAGTGTGGCAAGTAGTGCAGCAGGGACTTGTGGACCACTATGGGATGCTGGAGGAGTTTGTTACCATGGTGACAGAGCTGGTCCCAGAGCTGATGAGCTACAGTCAGAGGGCTCAGCTCATCCTGGGACTGAGGGCCAGGGTCAGTAATAACCACTGTTTGAGGGGACACATATATTTTTATTTTGAGTGTAATTATGTCCTATAAAACTCAATTAAAGAGGCAAATTTCAAATGAATAAACCGTCTGAAGTAGCCATTATAACCATTATGAATTCAGTGTCACAGATACAGATAGTTTAGACAACCTCAGTGCTTTTATTGGTTTGTGAGTGTTCTCTCTCATTTTTATCTGTATTTATTCCATTTCTTTCCCTGTAAATCGTGTGGGCAGAGGAGCAAGTAACACAAAACACACAGCAAAGATAAAACAAAGTTCCTCAGGAGCTGTAGTAGTAGTAGTTTTATACCAGTGGGACTGTTTCAATGTGATGCATTTGATTTGATTTGTATGTGTGTGTTTATACATTCAGCTGGTTCTGGAGATGTGTCGAGGTGAGCACCCAGTGGACATGCAGACCATTCAACCACATCTGGACAGAATTAAAGCTCCTGTCAGCACTGCCAAGGATCACCATGTAAGTAAGCTGTTGCTGGCAAACACACACACACACACACACACAGACACACACACACAAAGTGTTTCTTTGTTCTTCTGTTCAATCTGCTTTGACTGTTGGGTTGTTTAAACCTGCTGAAAATCATTGTTTAACGTCAAGAATACACTGTTGTTTTCTTGTATTTGTGTTATCTCCAATAAGCATTTTTGTGCTTACATTGTGTGTGTGTGTGTAACAGGTAACCATCAACCAGGTGGAGGAATCGGAGGTGAACTTTGTGGAGTTGGTGCATTCATTACTGGAGGATGACTCTGAAAGAAAATACTTTTTCCAGGTAAGACGGCACACACAAGCTTTTTCATAATAATTTAATGACAATGACGACAATATCCACAACAATGGAGAATGAATAATAATAAAAGTCATATCAGAAATATTGACAGTGGGGGTCAAGCAGGACCATGTCAGAAGCCACAACCAGGATCTAGTCTAGGCCTAAAGCACCATAGCAAAGGAATGGTTCAGGACTCATCTGAGCCAGCCCTAACTATAACATCTATCAAAGAGGAGCGTCTTAAGCTTAATCTTAAATGTGGTGAGGGTGTCTGCCTTCCATACCAAAACTGGAAGCTGGTTTCACAGGAGAGGAGCTTGGTAGCTGAAGACTCTGGCTCCTGTTCTACTTTTGGAGAATATAGAAGTAGCCCTGCACTCAGAGAGCACAGTGTTCTAGTGGGGTAATAGGGTACTATAAGCTCTTTAAGATATGAAGGTGCCTGACCATGAAGAGCTTTATAGGTGAGGAGGAGGATTTTAAATTCTACAGAATTTTACAGGGAGCCAATGCAGAGAAGCTAATACAGGAGAAATAAGATTTCTAGAGAACGAATTTCTCTGAGGGGGGTTAGTTGAGGACAACTACAGTTAAGCATAATTCCCTAGAAAATACTGCACTCTAGCTGCTGAAGTATAGCGTTGTCCCAGCCACTCCACTCATGGTTAGTCTCCTGTGGGCTTATTGCCTGCCAAGATCCCAGGCCACACCCATTCCCCTTCCCATGAAAATTACAAATCTAGCCTACCAAGGTCCCAAGCCACAACCATTCCCCAGGCCATTCCCACATTACCACAGCTGGTGGTGGTTGCGGAGAAACTCTCTGTGAGACACAGGCTTTGAACCATCAGAAAAACCGAGGGCCTCCAGACTGTCGGCGAGGAGTCTGGAAGACTGAGGGAAAATTATAAACTAAATAAATGATGATGAATGATAAATACTACAGCAGAAATGAAACAAAAAGTTTTTGCAGAAACAAAAATCCTCAGGCGGTTGCTCAATTTCAGTTTTTGAGCCGTTTGTGCCAAATGCAGTATTTGAGACACTACAAGGCAGTGAGGATAATTCTGTTTGTTTTCTAACAACAACCTATCCTTAATGTATCTTAATCTGTCCGTCTCTTATTTGCAGGAAATCTTCCCTGTATATTTTGGCCCAAAGTATGAAGCAGCTCTCGAGATGCTGGTGTGGGAGTTCATATCAAGACTGGAGGAGCTGCTGCCAGTTCCAGACTTCACACAGGTCCCATGTTTCTTTGAACTCTAGCTTCACCTGCTGCCAACGTGCATGGAGAATTGGAAAAAGTCAGAAAAGATTAAAACTCCAGCCAACACTTGTATTATAAATTATAACTTTATTGTCAGACTAACCCCCAGACCTTGGTGAAGGCCACCAGCCAAAACACATTAGTCTGACAATAAATAAAGCGGTTGGTCTTTATACTACAACTCTAGCTTGATACTCATTATTGTGATGGAAAAACGAAAAAAACAAGAGTTCAGGAGAGCTTGATGACTTACACAGCAGAATTTATTGAAGCTCGTCCGAGGAGAACAAGATCAGATCAACACAGTGCAGCTGCCAACCCACTTCTGAAGGTTACCTCCTGTTGGGGGATATTTAACGGAAACCCAGAGCCACAAGATCTACTAGTGTCCCAAATATGTTTGAAGATCCAATTGGGAAGTAGTTCAAAACAAACTCTAAGCCAACTTACTCTATCCTAAGTCACTTTTAATGCATAAAAGAGACAGTCAGTCTTAACCTTGGTCTTTCATAACAAAGTAGAACTACAATACGTCGGGTACTCAGGGTTCAAGCTTATCAGCTGCTCTGCATTGTCTAGTCAGCCAAACAGTCAGAGAGGAGGACACAGAAGAGGCACAAGCTATGACCTGTGACCTCCTTTAGGTTTGTAGACAATTCACAGTGACAAGAGGAGCACTGTACCATTTCAGTCTAATTCCTTCACAATTATCAGCTAATTACATAATAATAATACATTTCCTTTTAATGATTTGTGTTGCACTTTTCTTAAACCACTGCTGGCATTCGGGCTGCCTATAATAAACCTATGAGCCTTCCATAGCTCAATATGCTACTGTAGTTTAATGTCGGTCATAATGGTGGTACTTCAAGACCCTATAAGCTATCCTTAGTGCTACTGACCCGTCCAATGCAGGCAACAAAATAGGGAAAGTGTTGTTATGAAATGAACGGCTACCTTGGGAAGTTATCAGGCCCCGTGGGAGGTCTGCACTACTTGTTTTGTCTCCGTCTTCCATCTCACCGTCAGAAGAAGCCAAACGCAACGCAGACGAGTGCATTACCAGGAAATAGCTTTGGAATTCTTCCAAATTGAATTGTTTTTTTCAGGCTGACTGTGGCACATACGCTCTGTGCAGGGTCTCATCTGTCTGCACCACTGACCCAGAGACAGATGTAGAGCAGGGTTAAATGGGCGCAGGTGCAACACAGTGTCCCAGCGGAGCGGCTCCTCCTTCCTCCCTGTTCTGTACCAAACAGCAGCAAGAATAGCAAAATAACAAAGTCAGATAATCGCATTCTATAAAATGAGGCCAGAAAGAAATCATTTCCTTACACAGCTATAGTTTCACACTCATTACCCCCCATATATTCATCAAATTAACTTATTTTTCATTTTAACTCACTCTGGGTCATTCACTAAAGCCAGCAACTGGATCTCTCTTCTCAGTTGGCAGCTTTGCTCGGAGACGCGCCGTCATTCCTAGACGACTGTTTACAATCCTTTTTCCCGCCAGACGACATGAAGGCTGTACTTGAACACCACAGAAACCTCGGCCATTTTGAAGAGAAAGGTTGTATACTGTAATTGTATACTGTAACCAGTCTATGACTGTAAGTCAACAAAATGAACAGTCAGCAGTGAAACAGAGATATGTATAATTGCAGTTTAGAAGACCAACCTGTAACAAGTGTGTTTGTGATCTTCACTGGATAAATGTTCAGGATTTAGCATTTTTGTATTGTTTATTATCCTTAATTTCCCTTATTTCCTAAATAATGAGTTCCTAAGCAAAGATTATTTACTGTAGGTTATCACACAGCAGAGAAACCTAATGCAGCATTGCTTATAAAAGATTTTGAAAAGAAGGCGATGATGCACTCAGTAATTTTTGTCAAGTTTGAGAGTTTTTCCTGTCTTTTGACTGAACTGGGGTCTAATTAATCATCTTTTTTCTCATCTGTAGATCCTAGATTATTACCGATGGATGACTGCATCCTCTCCTCCCTGTCTCTGCCTCCTGGGACCAAACCTGTCACAAACGCCACCTCACCTGCTCTCAAAGATTCAAACCCTCCAGAGCACAAAGGAGCCGTAAACACAAGCAGTCTGGAGAGGGCCGGCAGAAGGAGCTCTGAGACAGCGAGACGGAAGGAGACGAGGGACTCGGGCAGTTGGCAGCTGCAAGTTAGAGGCGGGAACATTTCTCAGGAGAGGAATGCGCAAAACTCAATTAGTACACAACCATGTGATGAAACCATAGACCTCACTATGTCTAATGAGACTGCGGACACAGATTCAGCAGCCGATGACAACAGCCAAAGCTTGAGAGGAGGGCGGGTTCTCAGGAAGAGGAAGTTGAGCGGAGGTGTGGACATTCCCACAAAACAGCCTGCTGAGGCGACAGCTTTCTTGTAAGATTACTAGAAATGTTTTGTTTATTTGTTAATGGAACTCCATCCATTAGTTCCGATGATATTTCACTGAAACACTAGACAGGATCACCAAAGTCAGCAGGCTTCGTCCTCTGGGGATCAATGATATCTGTATCAAATTTCATGGCAAATCAAAGAACAGATGGTGAGATAATTCAGTCGAGATCAGAGGGGTGGACAGACTGACAGTGTTGGAAATAAAACTGCCCACTGAACCAACTGGAAACCCCATTGTCATGTCTTTCTGTTTAATAATTTGGTACCAACATTTCGCATAATCTGATGGGAATTCATTGTTCCCAGACAATTAAACCTAATGACTTTGGTGATCCCCTGACCTTTCCTCTAGCACTGCCAGGAGGTTGACATTTGTGGTTTTGAGTGAAATGTTTCAATGGTCGTTGGATGGATTGCTATTGAATTTATACCCACATTCAGGTCCCCCCTCAGGATAAATTCTAATAACTTTGGTGATCTCTCAGCTTTACATTTAACCCCATCATCAGGTCAAATTGTCCCTGCAGCTTCCCGTCAGGACTCTGTGTGTAGGGCTAGTTGGCAAATGTTAGCATGCGATAATGCTAAACCCAGATGGTTTACCCTTTATAGGGCACTCATTAAAATACTTGGAAATTTTAAATTTCAACCCTGGAGTGTTATTGGTGGATATAAGAAGATTTTTCTGTTTAGATTTTTTTTTTAAAGGTCAGTTTTAGGCTGAAAATCAAAATCTTTTTGATGTCTATGTGGGCTGGCACAACAACAACTGTTGCACAGCAGGCTTCCTCTTCCCATAGAAGGAGCAGACAGCTGCTGCAAAAGAAATATGCCACATCAATATACTAAAAACTAAAATATGTAATAAATAAGGCATAAGCAAATCAAGAGCAAGCCCACTTTGAGTTATTTGTGAAAGAAAGCAGTAACAGTGAAGTCTATATAAGTATATCACCTATTAAAAAAACCCACCAAAATATGCCATAGAAGTGTAATTAAAACCGTCATAAGGAAGTGACCATATATGGTTCCTTGCCCGATAAAGGGTTAATGTGGTAAACATTATGCCTGCTAAACATCTGCATGTTGCTATTGTCATATTGAGCATGTTAGCAGTTACATGCAGACGTTTTAGCTCACATGCAGGCTTGCAGAGCTGCTAGCTTGGCTGTAGACTCTTGTTTCAAAGTGAACCTGTTTTAATCTCAGGGCAAAGTGAGAAATTCTGACCAAATGATCTTAACAAGTTGAACATCTGTATGTTAGCATTGGCTTTGTAAACATTAAGCTTAAAGCATGCTGTTGAGTTTTTTCTTTTGAAAACACTTAACGTGTTACCGTAGCTCTGTTCAATTGTTTCCATCTCTTTTTATTTTACATGTGTGCTTTGTGGCTCAGATCTAAACAAATGTTTTGGGGATCACAAAATGAGTAAAATCACTCTGATCAAATTAGAAAAAGGTGTACATTTTATCCATTTGTTTTTCCACGTGCGCAGGGATTCGTCAATGGAGGAAGAGAATTCAGGTGAATCTCCTCTGATCTCGATATGGGGAGAATATACAGGTTTGTACAGTTTATGTAAGGTTTAGTGCATGTACTTGGGTACATCAGTCTAAGCTTATTCCTTTAACTAACTTCTCATTTCTTTTTAGACTCTCAGGAAGGTTCATTCCCAGTTGTAACAGACACAAAGGTTCCTTGGTCGGACGAGGAGACACTAAATCTGCTCGACATCTGGGGGAAGGACTCGGTGCAGCGGGCTTTGAAGGGCTGCTTGAAGAACCGTCACATATTCACACAGATCGCACAGAAGATGGCAGAGAGAGGCTACATGAGAACTGTGGAACAGTGCCAGACCAGGGTCAAACGACTGAAGAAATGCTTTCGCCAGAACAACAAGTGGGTATTAAATTCGCTACTGTCTGTCCTTTCTGCTTTCTTTCTGTCCAATCATTGCAGATAACTACAATTTCCCCCAGACCTTAAAGGTCATAGCTGTAAATTGTGGCAACAAGAGTGGAAAAAAAGCAATTGAAGCAAAATGCCTGTTTCCTTTTCCCTGTTCTAACGCCAGAGGGAACTCAAGGCTGGAGTATAAATTTTATGAGCAGCTGAAGCGGGTACTCGGCTCCTCAGCTCCCTCCACTGTTCCTGAGGTCACCTATGACGTAGAAGAGGTCGTCGATGAAGACGAGTCCCAAGACGGCGACGAGGACTTGCAGTTTCTCGGCCATACGAGCCGACTGGAAATCGGTACAGTGTCACATACACACACATAAAATTGCTGTGGATTAATTTTAGGATTAATTGATTAATATTTGCAGCTGTAGTTTAGTTTGAGTATAATGTAGCATCAGAGCAGGAATTACAGATTGTTGTGAAGTGAGGTTAAACAGATTTTCTGGATATCTTTTACAAGACTAAATGTCCATTTTTTTAAATTAAAAATATTAAGGATCACTGTATTCAAAATACATGTCAGTATAGTATTTAACACAGTAACAAAACAATGCAGCAGTGTAACATCTCTACATCTTCTTTCTACATCTTCAGTCATTTTTGATTCACCAAACAACTGAAGCATTAATATTTGTGGCCTGTCTACTGTATTTGACTGTATTATCAGAATATTGTAAGGTGTTGCTGTTATTTTTCCCAAAAAACAAAAACAAACAGACATTAACCAAACAATGTGATTCATATCTTTATTTAAGGAACTAGAAGCGTTCCGTGGACAGACTTGGAGACGCTGGCCCTCATCAACACGTGGGGTGAAGACAAGATGCAGCAGGAACTGAGAGGAATCCACAGAACCGGACACATGTTCTCCATCATATCCAACAAGATGGCTGCCCAGGGCTTCTCCCGAACACCAGAGCAGTGCCAAACAAGACTGAAAAGGCTGAAATCAAGTTTCAGGCAATGCTACCAAAACAAGTACGTATGCTTAGAGCAGAAACAGTGAAAGGAAAAGTGCAGGAACTGGTTGATTTACAGTATTTTTCTGCTCTCTTCTTCTTCCTCGATGTAGCATGAAGGGACAGGAACAAGTTGTGTGCAAGTTTTACAATGAACTGGGAAGAATTTTAGTGAAGGACTTCCCTATAGTGCCACAAGTGGATGAAATGCCAGGAGAGCCCGAAGATGACTTCACCTCCTTCTCCCATCAGGATATCGGTAGACTCAAATTTTCTCTGCTGACGTGTGAAGTGTTTTTAATCACACTACAAAGCCCTGACACCTAATAATTATACACACTGACTGATCACTGTGTGCGTCTGACATCTGGTGACAAGAAATTTATTCAGTGGTATGAAATGTGTAGAAATACATAGAAACTTATAATGGTTTTCTGACACAGTCCCAAGTCAGAGCAGGAGCCTTTAATTAAAATACTTTTAGACAGTGACTCAGTGGGTTTTTTATTCCTTTGGACCTGTACTTTGAGCTTTTTCCCTTAGGGAGGCGCTATAGCAGTTAAAAAAGTTCTTTCTGTCAAATGCAGTTGAATCCATAGTCTCCTTATCCATCTTTCTCTTACCAAAGCTCCATATTTTATGATTTTTATAACTGCATTCAAATCAGTCGGGTTTCTAATTTCTGTCTTGTTTTAATCATTCATTGTTTTGTTTATTTATGTTGTGAGTCGATTTTAGATGATTACCGTTACATTGTCAGGTCATCAGACCACTACATTGTAATATGAAATCGACTTACATCATATTAATTAAAACCTTTGAATCAATGTAACCTTAATTGCATGGTGGACAATTCATCTTTCTCATTCAAAAACCTTGTCTTAAACCAATATCCTGGTGAATTCAGAACAAAAATAGTCAAATCAACAGTTAAGGTATCAAATAAGGTGTTTTCTTTTCTATTTGTGTTTCTTCAGAGTCTGCTGTGGGCGTTCAGGAAGATAGGAAGAAAGTCCCGTGGTCAGACAAAGAGACCATCATCCTTCTGGAAATCTGGGGAGACCCACAGGTAGAGGAAATTATACATTTTAACTATGACGTAGTTATGCCTTTAGCTCTCCTTATCAGGCTGATCAGTTTCTTAATTATTTGAATTGCTGAAAAATTATCCAAGATATGGGCAGCAATTGAGAGGTCTTAAACTGTTACAATAATCTTATTTATGCATGTTGTTTAGACGAGTTAAAGCTTTGATGATGTTCAAAAACACTATTAAACTTCCAGCAACAGACAACCATTAAATCATCTACACAGTGATAGATTTCTAGCCACCTTTACTTAGAATTTCACCCACATTTAGGTCCAGGAGTGCATGAGACGCTACCCACACAACGGTCACATTTTTACCGAAATATCAGAGAGACTCGGCGCCAACGGCTACTCCCGCAGCGCCGAGCAGTGCCACACCAGGATCAAACGACTGAAAGCCAACTATCGGCAGTGTCAGGAAAACATGAGGTAAAAACCGCACATGAATATTCATTTTACATGTCGTACTGTTGGCAGGAAATGTGTGCTAATATATAACCGCCTTTACTGTCTGCAGCTCATCTGGGACCGACAGAGTCGACTTTAAATTCTATGATTTGCTGGAACAAATCCTGGACAAGCAGCCGTCAACATCTTCCATCCTTGTGACAGACTCCATCGAAATATCCGAAGACTCAAATGGTGAATCAGTGACTGAAACAGGTAAATAATCCTCAATAATCCCTATATGTTTATCACTGGAAATGTAATAGTATAGACCACTGGTTCTCAAACTATGATACAAGCAGTGATACTCGAGCTGCTTCTAGTGGTATGCAGAGGAATTTCTGAAATATTTTTATATATATATATATATATATATATCAAAATACTTAACTTAAAATACATTTTGCATTTCCTGTAATATTTTGTTTTAACATCAGCCTGTTACATAGTCACAGAGATAAAATGAATGGTTCAAAAACACTCGCAATGTGCAATCGTGGCTCAAAACTGGAACTATTGGGAAGAAAAGTGTGGACCAGGAGAACCCCTTTTCCACCAAATTAGCACTGGTTCTTGAACCACTTAGGTCAAACGATCTCCTTATTAGTAATAAACAAGTGCTGTGTTTCTACCGTAAGATGGAGAAATCAGCATGTCAACAGAAAAAACAGCACCTAGCTTGTGGTCAGATGAGGAGACCCTGGCGCTTATCGAGATCTGGGGCGACGAAGACGTTCAGAGGGCGCTGAGGGGTTCAGTCCACAACGGACACGTTTACGCCGACATTTCGGAGAGAATTAAAGACCTCGGCTACTCGAAAACCTCGGAGCAGTGCCGCTGGAAGGTGAAGTCACTGAGGAACAACTTTCGACAGTGCTACGATAAGAAGAAGTGAGAACAATCTTTCTATCAGTTTGACTGCTTTTCTGTTTGCAAATATAATCCAGCATGATGGCAACGGTTCATATTTATGTCTCTCCAGGTGTGGAAGAAGAGTAGATTATAGATTCTTCAAGCCGCTGGAACAAATACTTGGACAGGAGGCGGTTTCTATTGATGAGTATGATGAAAGAGACGAGCAGGCGGACCAGGATCCAGGTACATTTTCATCCATTCACACAGCTAGTTAGAAGATATCTGCATTAGATGAATGTTCACTCAGTCTTTCCTACTGCTCCATCCACCTAAAGTAGGTCCAGATGGCGTGAACACAGCGTGGACGGAACAGGAGACGGTTACTCTCGTCGAGGTGTGGGCTGCAGACGACGTGCAGCACAGCCTGAAAACCTGCGTCCGCAACGGGCACATATTCGCAGACATAGCTGAGAAAATGACCGCCATGGGATACCCGAGGACGGCGGAGCAGTGCCACTCCCGGATCAAAAGGTTGAAGAAGACTTACAGGCGCTACTGCAACACCCGGAGGTAAATAAAATGGATGAGCGACGTTATTTCAAATATTAGTAAAAAAAAAAGATGTTCTTCAAAATCTGCTTTTGATTCACATTGTCCAGAAACGGAGGGCGGCCCGTGGCGTTTAGATACTTCCACCTCCTGGCTCCGGTGCTCGGTGATAACTCTGTGTACGTTGACGTGGACAGTATCGCTGCTAACGCCACCGAGCAACCCCTTATGGACAAGGACCCTGACATGTGTAGGCTTTAATATAATCAATGTGCAATTTGTGTCATGGCACCTTTGACAATTGTACTCAGTGTTATTGTGCAGGTATCTATGTACATTATAATAATACATCTGTTGTTCCTCCACAGACGAGCAGCCCTCAGCCAGCCACCCCCAGGCCGACCTCAGCAGAAAGATGCCCTGGTCGGACCAGGAGACTCGCACCCTGCTGGAGATCTGGGGCGAAGACTCGGTCCAGCTCACAATGAGGGGCTGCCTGAAGAACCGCCACATGTTTGTGTACATCTCTGAGAAGATGAGCGACCGAGGATTCATAAGGACCTCAGAGCAGTGCTACTCCCGTATTAAGCGCCTTAAACATGGCTTCCTCCATGAAAAGTCAGTTATGACAAAACTATGTGACATTTATGATTTGTATTGTTGGTATTGTTTCATAGCCAGCATCATGAGGCCTTTTTGGTTGGTTAGATGTCGAACAAACTCGAGACAATATTCTGCAAATCATGTCTGCTCTTTATCGGGCAGTATACAGTTAATACAATGTTAATCTTTTAGAACTGTGAGGAGTAATGTCAAGATCTGAGGATTTAAAGCCTTGAATGGAATTGAGAGTCTAGTAAAGTTAGAATAATTTATTATTATCTCCCAGCTTTTCCTTTGTACCATCAGTAATTTCTGCTCAGCTCTAAAACAAACTCTATAATGGGTACTTGCTTTGATAAATTAGCAGTTTTTAAAATATTCTTATTTTATTTTGACATGGCCATGAGTGAATGGCCCACATATCGTGTGAATTTGACCAATTTGTGTTTTTAAAATTACTCTCTGTGTTGTTTAGGATTTGAATGGGATTAGCGTTGCCAGCTACACATTTAAATGTGTAAATCTGTCCGGTGGTAAATTATTGTTGTTTTTTTTTCCTTTGAATTCAGGGAGGAATTCAAATTTTTCAGCGAGATGGATGAAATCTTCAGGAGGGAGCTGAAAGTGGACGTCACAGTTGCAGACACGTCGGTCACAGATGAGCCGGAGGACTACACGCTAGGGCCTGCTCAAAAGAAAGGTGAAACCTCAAGAGAAAATGTCTTTAAAACATCTAGGTTGTGATTCCTTTTCAAAATGTGAAGAACTTTTACAACCCACAACATCTCTTTCTAGTGATATCTAATAGTATTTAGTCTCTACACATTACAGTATATACCAGATAATTGGTATAATTAAAGTTTTTCTACCAGTCAGGTGTATAAACACATGAACAGTTGCCTCTATAGCTTTTCCCGTTATTGTAATTATTCTTTATACGTCCACTCTGCTAACTGCCGCAGGTACCCAGTGGATGGCTGACAGCACCAAGCTGCCCTGGAGCGACGGGGAGACAGAGGCCCTCCTGGATATATGGGGGAGTGAGGAGATCCAGGAGACCTTGAAGGGCTGCACCAAGAACAAACACATCTTCATCCAGATCTCTGAGGTCATGGCTAGCCAGGGCTACCTGCGCACTCCTGAACAGTGTCAGACCAGGATAAAGAGGCTCAGGGCCAATTTCCGACACTTCCTCGAAGGCAGAAAGCAAGTACCATTGTTTGTTGTTTGGAGGGAATAATGTGGTTAGATCGTGCTGTATGTCTTAACATCTACATTCTTAATACAGTTTTATTCTCTAAGAATGTTTTAAACTTCACAGCATTTGTTGTTGTACACATTTATTGTGGCAAAATTTTCTTTTCGCTTATAACATGCTCTGAAATGTCCTGTTTCCAGAGGAGAGAAACAGGAATGCAAGTTCTTTGACCAGCTGGTGCAGATATTTGGCAGCAAGTATGTAATAAACTCAGACCCTCTGGCCGACGATACAGCCGATGGCGTAGGTAAGGAGTCATGTTGTCCATCATGTTAGCTTTATGCAGTGGCTTTATCAGCTGGATAATGCTTGTAGTGACCAGCAAGCTAGGACTCTACCTAAACTTGCTGATAGGTGGATTGTGTTACCTTCAGACGGAGCCAGGCTAGCTGTTTCTCCTCTGTTTCAAGTTTTTTATGCTAAGCTAAGCTAACTTGCTGCTGGCTCTAGCTACATTGTTAGCATGCAAGCTTTAAAGAGGTATCCATCTTATCGTCTAAAGCAAATAAGCATATTTCTTAAAATGCCAAAACTATCCCATGACTTACTGTAAATGTCTTGACTGTAATTCATGTAAAGATAAAAAAATCCAAAGAGTCAATATCTAGGGTTGCAACCAATGATTATTGCCATTATTGATTTATCGACAATGTTTGTTTGGTCCATAAAATGTCAGAAAATATTCAGTTTACTGTCATATTGGACTAAATAAACCAGAAAATATTAACAATGGAGAAGCTGAAATCAGATTATTTGGATATTTTTGTTCTTTAAAAATGATTCAAAACCATGAATCTATCTACTATAAAAATTGTTGGCGGTGAAGTTAATAGTTGACAACTGATTGAGCCAGCCAATGTTAATTCCTATTTTTAAAGTGTTACAGTGGTTTGTAAGCTATATTCATTATTTAACATCTAAAATGAACTTTTTCTGATACAGAGACCTGAAACTGTCCATCATCCACGGAGTGATCAAGAGGTCACAGCAGCTGCAGACCAACAAAGGAACATCCAGAGGAGAAAAAACAAGGGCATTCATACAGATAACAGAAGAAGGTCTGTCCAGGCTCACTCAGATCTATGTTTGCCTCTGTATATACTTCAAATACTTTTACATTCTTCATACACACAGACCAGGCTGTGTGTGTGTGTAGGCGTGCGTGTGTGTGTGTGCGTGTGTGTGTGTGTGTTTGCATCCCTCCACCAGAGTGTATGACATAGAGCCATGACACTACAACCGGGAAGCTCAGGGCTCGAGGGACACAAATTGATCTCTGATCATGACCTGGTGGGAGTCTCAGAAAATGCTGTGCTCCTCCAGAAAAACACGTTTTTACTGCTGTTTAATTATTTTTTACTTGAACTGAAATCGAGTGATTCAAAGCACATGCAAAAAAAAATACACGCAAGGCCTCTATTACTGTAACCACAGCGTACATTTGCTTTTTTGTCTTAATTCAGGTCTCTCTTCTGTTCTTGCACTTGTTTACAATGTTTGTGAGTGGTGAACTCTTTTAATTTATAAAGTTAATGGTTATTTTATTTTTTTTTACACTGTATGAGTTGATCCTGTCCAGAATTTTTATTTATTTAAATTATTGTTTACGTGTGTATTTTACAATTTACTTTGAATATGTTATACTTCAAACTTTATTGAAGCACATTTTTCCACAAAGATGTAAAAGGTTTTGTCACATCTATTAAAAGAAACTTGAAATGTTTGATTGAAAATGGATTTCTGTGATTTGTTGTTTTGTTTTTTGTGTGAAAAAAAGATTGTGGACCGTTCACTAAAACATAATGAAAGTAATGGTAGTAGTAATATATATCTACTAGCTTATGTTACCAGCCTGCAGTGTGCATACTTTCTGCCTTTCCTTCACCCACACAGGCTCTAAATGATCTACTGCTGTTTATATTAACTGCAGTCAGCCAGAGCTTCCTGCTCTGCCTTTAATAAATTACATTATGTGTAATGAAGGGAAATCAGGGGGGGGCAGGTTGCCAGGCAACAACCTCTAAACACATCAAGGTTTCCCGTCACAAGGCCATTAGCTTTACACAGTGGTATTTATGTCATTGTGACATGACAGAGAGTCCCACTCTTTAACTTAATACTGTATCAGACACTGAGGAAGCTACAAGCTATTCGTTACTTTTATGGCTTCGTGGTCGACAATATAAGCACAGGAAGGTTTGCTCAGTTGTTATTGGAGCACAGAGCAAACAGCGACGGGACTTTGGAAGGGTCATTTATGGTCATGAATGATATGATACTCATACGCATTGCATTTTGTGACTCATACCAGGTCTTGATTTCTAATACACAGTTCTTTGGATTTGGCATTTCGTTATGTGAAAATATACAGCACAGTGCAAAAACTGATGGTATACCACTACAATAATGGCGAAGTGACTTCCAGTTCAGTCTTACTTGGCCAAACCAAGTGTTCAACCACAAACACATGCGGTCCCTCTGCCCATAAACAATTTCTGGTGGGTTTGTTGGGATCAACCAGCACAGCGTAACTGGGTAGCAGCGGTGAACCTTCCTCTATCAGGATGGTGTAGAAGCTCCTGGGTTTACTAGGTGATATACACATGCATCGGACCTTGTGTTCGACGGGAGGCGGGTCGAGCTCTTCCTGCAGCTTCGTCAGCACTGACAGAGGAATCATTCTCACTGGGTTGTCGTCCCAGTCCTCCTTCAGTGATTCTTGTCCCTCTCTCTCCACATTTGTACCCCCTCCTATGTCTAAGGCTACGCCGTCATCCCTGCCATTTTCTTTTGCTTCCCTGTCTTTCCCCTCTTCCTCCTCTGTTTGGTTATTGTTGTTCCTCCTGATGAACACCACTGGAGCCATGTCCTCTCCTCCGCGCATTTTATATATGCAAAAATTCAGCTTGTAACAACATGGTTCGTAAATTTCCTGAAAACACAAGAAAAAACATACGATTTGTATATTCCTTAATGTATTATCTTAATATTTGACCATAAAAGTCTAATTTTCCCGTCATGTCATATAGTACTTACGATATAACCACATAGGAAACAACCAAGCACTATACCAAGCGCATACATGGAAAGAGGAACACAAATGATGGTGATCTGAACAAAAATAGAAAATAATTACATTTTTTAGAGCATCTTTAAATCTTTCCTTCCCACGAAGGCCAAAGCACAATAGTGGACCAAACACATTAACAGAATTGAGATCATTAGAGAAAAAACACAACTTTTCAAACAATACATTGACTATTAAAGAGAACACAAAGAGATATTTAGGGTTGAGAAAGTAGGTTGTTTCTGATGGTAAGATGACTTCACCATGTCTTTAATGAATAATCAAATAAGTAAAATGATCTTACTTAACTGTAATGTAAAACTTCTTACCCAAACTATCATGATGGTCCAGAATGTGGAGCTGCGTTTTCCTACAAGGGATAAGACTGTAGGAAGACATGGCTGCACACACACACACACACACACACACACACACACACACACACACACACACATATACACAGAGAGAGAGAGAGAAAGAATGTGTTAATAATTAATGGTTTTAATCTCTCTTTGTTTGTTTTGTGTCATTTTAAAGACATTGGAAGCCTTTCAAATGTTTTAAACTTAGGTACTATTTATTTAGAGTTTAACACTCACACAAAAAACTTCCTCAACCCTGTGCGTGTGTAGTTGGACCTCTTTTGATAGACACGGGCCTGTTGACACCGACTGCCAGCAGATTCAAATATGACTAAATCCTGGATGGAAATACCTCAAATAACTAAACACTTGATTGTGTGACGGATGTGTTGGAGGACAGCACACTGTCTTTTTAACTGCTGGTATATTTACAGGATGTTTCAGCCTGAAAGACCTTGTAGCACTTCATCGGGAGATGAGGGTCGTGTCTTGAATCCATGTATGTATACATACTGGAATGGAGGAGTTGAAATAGCCAAGAGTGCTATAACTTTGGCCAATGTTTAATGTTGATCACTCATAGTAAGAAAGTGATTGAGAAAATAGGTTTTCAGGGCCTTTAATAAACAATTTGTTCTTGGTTGATTTAAAGCTGCATTTTACCTTTTCATAAACCAGGCTGCTTTGAACTCTGACCTGAAATAGAGAAGTAAACATTATGTATCTGTTCCAAAAAAATGTAAACAATCTATGAAATATGCATTCATATACAGTACATGAGTCACTTCTACGCTTCAGCTGTTTTATGTCTCGCTTCACCTTGGATTTAAAAAAAATGGCTGCTGTGCGGTTACTGTATGTCTCTCTTTGACGGGTTAATGACTCACACATCCGGAGCTGTTGTCCTCTCTGTCACACAAGCAGGAGTCTGGTAACGGGGACAACCAGTCTTGGTAGCCTCGGAGTCCGCAACACTTAAACTGGAGTAAACACAAACACACACAAACACACACACACACACACACACACACACACACACACACACACACACACACACACACAGGTGATTTAGAAATGTGCTTTACTTATGTTTAAATGTCATAAACAGCAAGAAGACGTGTAAAGTAGTTAAGAACTTTCTTTGCTGTTTGGTGTTGAGCAGGTAGCGTACAGTGGGTTATTAGAGCTGCCTTGTGCTTTAGAGCAGTGGTTCCCAACCTTTCTCCTTAAACATTTTTTTCCCCCTTTTCTATAATTTATTAACTGACAACCCCTGACTATGTGACATATTTTATGGATATTTCATATTATATTCGAAACTGTACAATGAACCCAAATAGTGAACTAAAGTTTGTGTAAAACAAGTGATTTGGGTCAATTTTGAGCTGATTATTTTCTGTTATGGGAACTTTTTATACAATTGTCTCTCTGTATTATGTGTTTTTTACCAATCATATATACTTAACAAGCTTGTTTTTCGAAAAATTCAGTGTTTTCTTGGCCATTGTTCTATTACACAATTTTCTTTACAGATGTTATCTGAATGCAGAGATATAGGCCTACATTGTATATTTTTTATGTTTTCCTAAATTCTTTAAAATCTAGAAGGCCTAGCTTTGGCAACCCCTAGTTGGGGTGCCAATTACCAGGTTTGGAACCACTGCATTAGAGCACTTGGAGCAGTGAGAGTGAACAAAAAGAGCATATTTACAGACCAGGCAGCTAATCAATGAGCTGTCACATCACATACATGTTGTCATTTGATACATTGTTAATACAAAATAATTACAGTTGTTTTTCTGTGAATTTTACATCATAAAGGGCAAGTTTCCTGTCTTACCTCAGCCTGCCAGTTATACACATTGTTGAGTATACGGCAGGTTGGATTAGTCAGCTGCTTTTGTTTGTTTTCTGCTATATCTGTCAGAGGAAGCAGATCCAAGTAGCGCCTCTCAAAACTTTCCATCTCCTAGAGGCAAAAAGAAAGTTATAGAAAATTATTTGCCACAGGTGGATGACTAATGAACCCTGCTTTATTTCCCCCTCTTACCATTTCTGACACATGCTAGCTCAGATTGACAAAAGAAAATTCATAACTCGAGGTTCAAGCAAATGCGCAAATTTCCTAAAATGTCAAGTTGCTGCTTTAAACCTGTTGTAGCCAACTTTTATAAAAAATACTTTTTTGTCCTGTTTACCTATTACCTTCCCTGTATTCCGACTGTTGTACATAACATAGACAATCTGTGATAAAAAAAATTAGGTTCCTCTGGCTCCTCCTAGTGCTCCGAGGTGCATTTGCAAGAATCCGAAAAAGAAAACAACCAATCACAGGAGAGAAAGATAGCTGATTGTTACTGTGAGTCTCATTCCCAGGTCCCCAAAGCAACACTATTCAATCTTGACAGAATGTCTGTCTCATGTACTACTGTCAGGATATAGTGAACGTTTCAGCAAATATTACAAAAAGTTATTTTTATAAAACTTTAAACTTGAGATGACTGTGAGATGTGGTTGAAAGTTCCAGGATAAAGCAAATGTATTAGCAGACCTTGAGTTAAGATTTTCCTTTTGTCAAACTGCTGTTTCCAGTGTGAAAAATGAACTTACATACAGCATTCAACTATATTAGAGAGGTGAGATTCACCCACCTGCCTCTCTTTTTCCTGAAATCTATCAAGAGATACAGACATGGTCACAACCAGGACAAGTGTCACACCTAGTAACTACAAGAGAGGAGAAAGACAGTTTGAGTTGTATGTTTCTTCCTGGGTGAATATAAATCAGATCTTACACACGGACGTCCACATACCATTTTTCCATAGTGGCCCTTCCTCCTCCACATCTCCAGCAGCAGCAAGAAACAGCCCGGCAGACTGAGCCCTGACCACAGATACACCAGTGTGGCCTCGTTTTTCAGCCCTGACGCTACAAGATCCTACAAGAACAAAACCTTGCGTGTGAGGCATAATTTCACTGGTTCAATATTTGTTTTAGGACTCCTTAAACAGATATTTAGTGATTTTATCATTTATTGTTTATTTTAAAGCACACTGGGATCTCCATACATTTAGAGACATATTATATACATATATTTAATAATAAAAAACACAGATGTGAGTCATACCCATAGATATGCACGATATATAATAAGATAAAAGCGCAACACAGATGATACTAAAACAAGCTCAACTAAACTACAGTATGTGATGGCATAAAACACCATACTATCATGGAAAGATAAACATTGTTAAGTGTTATCAGTAATCTGGCTGCTGAGTGGGAGTCTAAGCAGGTCAAAAGTCTGAGCGTTTATTACTTTTTATGTATCATTAAAATTGAGCATGTGTCTTATTTTAGACCACTGATAAAAAAAAAAACAAGCTCAGGTGATATTTCTGAAATGCTGCTCAAAGGATAAGAGACCATCAAAAGTTACCCCAAGGCTCTTTGCCACAGACTTAACAAAATGGCAGTGTGTATAAAACTCCTTATTTGCTTCCTTAGATTATCCAATATTGCTGTCTAAGTTGTTACACCCAAAACCAAAGGTGTTTGCCATTCTTTTAGTCTAAAGTATGGAATATATTATACTGACTTTTGCTATTATCTTTAAATATTTAAAAATAATAATAATTCTGGCACCTGAATTGTGTCTTTCACAGTCATTCACTGTTGCTAATCTGATGATTGTGTAGTTTTTACCTCTTTGCTGTTCCCACATTCAAATCTCTGGCTGTTGGAAAGTTGTCCTGATGCTGTCAAGATGAACAACAGTACACACCAGACCTGGAAAGCACCGGCAACTTTGGTATTGTTCATTTGTAAAGGTAACAATGTAATATATAAACTAAATGCCACACACCCCAATATTCAAAGCCTAAGCCAATGGATCTCTACATTTCATAAATAAATAGATAATTAGAGATAAATATTGTACTTTTTACTCCTCTATACGTATCTGGCAGCTTTAAGATTGTTGATTAAAAAAATACATAGGCAGTAAAGAGCCTAGTGGTATTGTATTGTTACTTTATTGGGTTGTTAATACTCCATCCAGCACTGCAGATGGCAGTTATTAAAATGTAATTACTGGTAGATTAATAATTAACTAATACACCACTAAAGTATGAAAGTAACACCATAAGATGATCAATCGATGCACTGAGAAGAATACTTACCGCATATGTTATCACCACACATGTTGCGGTCCACAGGGTGCAATCAGGCTTCCGGAAAAATGTTTTTTTGCTGTCATTTGTCTCAGCGTCCATTTCTTCACGATGTTAAACCCCCAGCTGCTTCAGAAGGAAAACAACCACAGAATGATGCCGGACATATAGTGAGAACAGAGAAGAGGATGACTGTAAAGACTCCACCTCCTGTATGGAGGGTGAGTAATGCCAAAAAAACACATGGGCCAGCCTACTTGGCTGCTGATCCTGTCTCCGGTTCACCGCTTTTCCTTCCTTGGACCACTTTTGATGTTAACTGACTGCAAAACCTTGATAACTCTGTTGAACAGGCACAGTGATTCAGCCCCTCTACTCTGATGTGACACTGCTAACGTTTGGGTTGTGATGACTACTTGTCTTCATGGCTATAAAAAATACCCATGTGGTTGGAGAACATTGAGTGTTAGTGTCTAGTCACATGACTTGGACTGAGTCACCAATTTGATTACTTTAGCCTCAACAAAATCTAAAAAGACTTGCAAGTGGTTTCATTATGACTTGTTTAGGACTCAAACTCAAAGTTACGTAATATGCATGCATCGACAGTGATTGTCTAATTACTCTCACTGCCAGACGTTTTTTTAAAAAAAAGAAAAAAGAATAATCTGGGGATTGTGTATGGTAACGTATGTAGATTCATTCATTTCAATTCTGGGACTCTCAGCCCTCTGCTTGTCTGCAGTTGGGGACAGTTGAAGGCTCTTGTCAAGTATCTCTTTCTTTTCCAGTATTGGTGGCAGTGCACATGGCGGCCTGTGCACATTCCCACTCTTCGGCCTGGAGTGCTTGACTGGAGCATTCTTGATGTCGGGCAGCTTGTAGGAGTTGTTCAGCTCTGTGGTTGGCCCGAGGACAGTTGTCTCAGGTTTGTGAAACGCTGACCAGAAGCTACTGGAGCTGGACTGGATCTTGTTCTCAACTGGTGCCAGACATACAGGTATCTGTCTGTCCTGTTTCTTTCAGCCTTGCTTGTTGCAGCAGTCTTGTTTGACAGCTGCATAAGTCAGTAAAACTTCAAGGTTCAACAGTTGAATGTAATGAATGCTTCATCAAAAAAATTAAAGGTAAGTAGAATTATGATCTTTCAAGATAGTTAAAAAGTGTGTGCTAAAGCTAAATTAAGTCGTACTTGTAACTTTTCTCCTTTCCTTTCTGATTCCAGCTTGTTTAAAAAGCTTAAGAGAGGGTACGGGCTAGATTTGTCTCTCTGGTAAAAAGTGAAGTGTTACCTCTCACCTGCAGGTAATGTGGGCAGGTTCTCAAAGACATTTCCAGCTGCTGAGTTACAACTGTAACTGGTAATAGGGGGAGGTGGGTAGAAGCCATTTTGCTACTACCTCTATGCTGATATTTTACATAGTAGAAAAAAGGGAAACGTCAGAAGGAGGGAGATCTTGCAAAATGACTGCTACAAATATTATTTTAACTCTTCTCCACCCCTGTACCACTACTGTAAATATGTCTTTGTTCTATAATTATTTAGATAAGCAGACTAACCATTATGTTGGCTGTGTGGCTATTGCCAATTTCTGGCAGGGTGCATCTATGTGAAACAGGTTTGGACATGTGTGCTGTTGGGAAGTCTTGGACATTTCCTGCATGAACTTAGTTCACATCACTTCAAGCCTCGCTCTTCTCCCAATTTTCAGCGGCCACCTGGTGAGTTCACAAAGGTTAACCCGTGTTAGTGTCAAACTGAATGACTGGGTAAAGACCTTGTGCATTAGTCACTGAATTTCTTACTATTGCTTGCACATTCTATTTGCACATTCTATTTGCACATTCTATTTGCACATTCCATTTGTACATTCCATTTCAATATTCCGGTGAGTCTCAATGAACAGAATATTATACATTATGAAAATAGGCAAGTATTAGATATATTCATGTAGTTTCATTCAAAACAATTTTTTTATCAAGAGAAAATTTGATTTGAGACCTAAAGACTCAGTCTATCAAACTCAACATTTGCCATTACATAGAAGTAAGACTTTATGAGGAAATAAACAGCAGTTCTACGGTGGCTAAAATACCTTGAATCCCAAAAGTATTTAAAGATACTGCGGTATTTAAAGAACCCAATTATACATAACTAAAATTAATGCAACTAAAGACCCCAAATTCAAGTTTGCTGTCATTTACTGAAGTCCCATTTCACTCCAGAAGGGCTGCTATAGCAAAATACAACTGAAATCTACGATCTATCTAAATGTAATCAACTGACATCAAATAAAATCAATTATTTACTAATATTGTATAAGATTTCAAAGATCCATAAGTAATCTATCAGTTACTCATCTATAATAGTAATCCACTCTTTATTTTTCTTAACTTTGATCCCAATTAGCTTCCACAAAACTGTTGCCTTTTCTTTTTCCTTTTGGAGCTCCACATAAAATATAAACAGCAAAATAAACAGCGATTTTAAAACAATACAGAACAACTCAGATTTCAACATCAGGAAAACTACAAGTGAAATAATTTCATGAAGGAAAGAGTGAATAATAAAATGTAAACGTGAGAGCAAACACAAAAAAAAGAAAATTAACAGAACATTTCTAAAAGAATATCTGAGGACAAAGGCAAGAATAAACACCGCTTATCTACCATGGTGTAACTTTTGTATCACGTTGGGTCAGATACTGTAATTGTGGCCAATTGTAGCATAAATGTTCAACCAATGTGTTACCATGCCCTCACCTTCTTGTCTTTAAAACATCAGCTGTAAGCATTTGCACAGCAACCTGCACATGTTCCCCACATGGTGGTGCCAGTGGATAACAAGTTTGGTTTCAAAGCCATAGTGGTTATTCTTTAAGCCTAATTTTAGAAAGACACACAAAACATTTAAAATTTATTTTTTCAAATGTTCCTGTGTAGTAGTACAGATGTGTCTCACTGGAAGTTGTCTACTGTCTCTTTATATCTCTGTTTATAAGTCAGGTCCTCTTGTCAACTAACAATAATGTGTCAACATGCAAGCAGGGAAACTCTGTCCCAGTGTCACTTAACATAACTTAACATAAACACACTCCATGTAAAACACACATATAGCACACTTAAATAGACACAGACACAGAGACAAACACACATACACAGCTCTCAAAAGCTAGGACAGTAATTATGTGTCTAAATCTGACAGAGCGTCCAACCGCCAATGTCTGGCTGCCCGCCAGTGTGTGTGTGTGTGTGTGTGTATGTGTATGCACTCGCACCCATGTGTGTGTGACATTGGTGAAGACAGAGACAGGCTGGCTGGAATCTGTTGAGGGAAGGGTTACTGAGGGTGTTGCTGCACTCAAGAACACACAGACAAGAAGCCCGAGCACTGCCACATCACCCACCTCACCACTCACTTGGTCAGCTTTGCACACACCCTCAGCCTCACACACTGGTTTATTATAGTCATATCACACAGATAAGAAAATTAATTTTTTGCTTTTTGCACATAAAAACAACAAAACAAATTGGACAAAAATGATTTTGATTTTGATAGTGTGTTGCAATCAGGGTAGTAAAGTACCTTCATTTACACAAGTATTGTCCTTAAGTACAGTTTCAAGGAATGTTTGTGCATTACTTAAGAATTTCATCTTTATATATGGTACTGTATACTTCACTACCTTTCAAAGCAAAATAGTATGCTTTGTATGTATGTACATTTACTTAAGATCTTATACTCCACCACTGAATTTAGATAGATAGATAGATAACTTTATTAATCCCACAATGGGGAAATTCACTTGTCACAGCAACATTTGAGTGAAATAAATAGGCTACAGATATAAAAAACAGGAACTTTCACAGCCTCCAGACTGAAACATTTCCCAGTTTCCTCTTCTCCTTTCTGTGTTTTTCCATCCACCAAATTAAAGTAAAATAACACAAACCTTCTTGATAGGACACAACATAAGTCTCTGGAGCTCTGCTGGAGGAATGAACACCATTACGCCAATGGATATTCCCTCATTAGGTGTTTTCCTGATGGCTGTAGGCGGAGGGCACATATGTCCAAAATCTCCCATAAGCGTTCAATTACGTCAAAATCTGTTGACCACAAAGGCCATAGCATATGGTTTACGTAATTTTCATACTCATTAGATCATTTAGTGACCCTTTAGTGGCCTGAGGATGGGGGTTGTCACATGTCACAGAGCATGATAGGCTGTTAATGTCACATGTATGGAGGCATCTGCATTATCTTTCCCCGCTCTTTTATACCATGTTTTCTCTGTGTGTATCACTGAATTCTGAAGCCTGTAACAGAGGGAGACATGGTAGGGTTGTGTAACATACCACTGAGTCATTCCCCTACCCCGAGGGCAGACGTTTTCACCCTACTTCATTACTGCAACAGGCAGGCTCACGTTCTATCAGTGTGTGTCTGTGCGTCCAGAGCAGATATTCTCATCCTGCCGTGTTCTCAAACATGCAGCTTCATGCTCTGCCCTCAACTGCATGCACATGTGTGAAAAACGAGGGAGAGGAAGGAGATAATTTATTGTTTAGCAGTGAGGAAAAAAAAGGTCAACTAACAAACGTCATGAAGAGAAGGATAGTGTGTATGCATGTGTGTGTGTGTGTGTGTGTGTGTGTGTGTGTGTGTGTGTGTGTGTGTGTGTGTGTGTGTGTGACGGGGAGCCTCCCTCCCTTGGGGTTGTGTATGGGCTTGTTACAGCTACATTCCTCCACTCAGCTGCTTCTGAGCAGCACATTCCAGAAAGAGAGAGATGAATAGAGAAAAGAGGGTGAGTAAAAAGTGGAGAAAAGGAGGAAGAGCAGTAGAGAGTGAGATAAAAGGGGGGAGTAAGAAAATAGATACAGAGAGGGAGCAAGAGAGCAGGCAGGAGGGGGCAAAGAGGTAATAAATAGAGAAGGTGGGAGGGACAGTAAAAGGATGGACGAGTGGTTAAAGGGGATATTAATATGAGATGTAATTGATCCCTGTTGTGTTCTGCAGACACCCCCCTCTTCTACACAGAGAGGTCAGAGGTCAGGGTGAGATACAGTACAGAGAAACCAGAACCAGTGCTGAGAAAAGGAAGTGACAGAGAGAAGGGGATGGAAGTCATTTCTTAAAATATTATTCCCCATACAGTCATACACACACACACACACACACACACACACACACACACACACACACACACACACACACACACACACAGAGTACTCTTTGGTGTGTGTTCATCTCTTCAGTCTGCTTGACCTGTTTCCACTGAACTGTGGAAGAAAGAAACAAATCTCACCACAAACACAGACACACATAACGATTCAGCCACATGATTACACTCCTCTATGCAGACACAGCAGATAAACACACGCACGACAAATACGGACATAAATTATATTACCATACAACATTTTCAGGCAAATATGCAACATAACTCCCCAGTTTCAACTTCTTGTGTGTTTTGTTTGTGTAACTGAATATCTTTCTGTTGACTATCTATCAGTCAAGTTTTGGACTGGTGGTCAGACCGAACAAGACGTTTGAGTACGTCACCTTTGGGGTTCGGGAAATTGGGGACATTTTGCATATTTTGCGCCATTTTATAGACCAAACGACTAGTTAGATGAGAAAATAATCTTAATTAATTAATGGATAAGGAAAAATGAGAGGAGAGGAGAGGAGACATTAAATGAGAGCGGGACAACGAAGTGAAAAACAATTACAAAGGCAAGATGAAAATCAACTGTTTCCGTTGTGTCTGTTAAATGAAGAAGATGACTGAAAGACAGAAAGAGAGGGGGAAGGGGGGAAGAAAGCAAAGAAAACATTAAATATTTACTGAGGATAACAAGCAAATACGTTTAAAGACAAGCGCAACAAAAAGCAGTTTTTGTGTGAAAGCTTGTTGGCTCGCTGACAGCTTCCCTTCTCCTTCTCCCTCACACTGAATAGACGGGTCTGTTTGTTGTCACTGGTAGAACGAAAGGAAAACAAAGTCACTCGATTCCCCTTCTCTCCATGTGTGTGTTTATTGGAAGACAGTTAATCATGCATAAGTGTCTATTGAGTTCCCCCGACAAGTCTCTCCAGCATACCAATTTACCATTTGTTCTTCTCTCCGTCTGCATTGCTCTGTCTTTCTCACCAGATTGTCAGTTAGGTTACATTTTAGATGAGCTTGATGCTCAAAATTAACATTACTTAATAGCGTTTTGTAACACTCATATAATCTAGCCACTGCTATACGTACTAACACTGTTGTTGCTGCTGCTGCTGAGGGTTATATATACGTGTGACCATTAGTGGGGATGTTTCTTTCTTTCTATTTTTGGTTGTATCTTAATCCAGATTATGTATCTGACCCATTAATCTGTTGGCTGTTAGCTGCTTCTTCACTCTGTGCTTCACATAATCTGCCTCTCTATCTCTCTATCTATCTATCTATCTATCTATCTATCTATCTATCTATCTATCTATCTATCTATCTATCTATCTATCTATCTATCTATCTAGATTAAACTGGCTGCATGACAAGATTATTAGATTCACTCTGTTTTTGAACCATGGAGAAGATTACTGTAACCTGTTCTCTCCTGAATCTGCAACATCTCTCATAAGAGATACAGTATATACTGTCACATTAAGGATTAATGCATCAATGATTCAACTGAAAGGTGCCGCCATTGTTTAATTTAAATGTTTCACCTCTGGTCTTGTGTATTTTAGACAAATTACTGTAATGTTAGATATAAAATTCATCCCCTTCTACACGACAAATAAAATGACAAGGTGGCAGGTATCGCGTGGCAAGGCAGGTTTATTTGTTCGGCTATATAATTACATATTATATATATACTTATATATTAAGTATATATTCTCAATGTGTTTTTACATTAAAATGCATGTCCAAAGAAATGGTGTGTATAAAAACTTTAAATGACTGCTGGATATAACAACAAGCTATTATACTGGAATAATTGCTATACTATCTACTTTTGATGCCAGCTGTGTGTGTGTGTGTGTGTGTGTGTGTGTGTGTGTGTGTGTGTGTGTGTGTGTGTGTGTGTGTGTGTGACTCTGCAATGTATGTATTTGTTGTGTCAAACTGTTGTATTCTTCATGTATGTATTGTTGATGGGATGTTCAAAACAAGAAAACAACAATATTGTGGGGAAAGAGAGGTTAGTCAGGAGTCCTTCTGGATCAGAGGTTGATGAGAGGATTCATTCCCTTCTCCTCAACAGATCAGGTTTAAAACAACAAGATATAAATCCAAGATACTGGAGTAGTTACTATGGAAACATGTATGTATGTATGTATTGTATATGAATTCTGATGAGAAACTCGATAAGGGAACATCTTGACAGGTTGATCAATATTGGCACTGCATTGAAAGCAGCTACCTTCCAATAGAGGCAGCATTGTAAACAATATATGCAGTCTTCTTATAGTAGACCATAACTCACTGTAGAGGCTGTAATAGGAACACAATTTAGTTAATGTCACTTGAATAGATTTTACGCCCAATAAAATCCAAATGTGCAACCGGCATTACAGGAAAATATAAACATGCTGCATGAAATTTTCCTTTTTGGTAGTTCAGCTTTTATTGCTTTTCAAAATAACAATAAATACAGTACAAAGATCATGGATAGAATAACAATGAAACTAAAAATACAACAAGCAGAAAAAGATTTGAAGAAGTAAAAAAGAATACAATAATACATTTAAAAAATCCAAACATATATGTACAGGGTAAGCATTGGCATTATCATGTTGCTATCACTCACATACCATTGTGACAATTATGTACATGGTAGATATAATTATCATTGCTACATTAAAGTGACAGTAATAACCAGGGCTTGTACTCCTTAGTTAGCCATCCAATATTGCGATCATGTCATCCCCACATTTTCAAAAATACTGCTTGTCTGTTGTTCAACTTAAAGAATATTTGTTCATAATTGGCTATTTTGCTCATTTCTATCAGCAAGGGATGATATTTTTTGTTGTCCAGTGCCTGAACATGTGAGACATTGTCATCAATATCAAATAGAACAGAACAGAATACAACGTTATCTTTATTGCAGTATTATGGGTCATCTGGCAAACAATTAGGTTAAAACATTAAAACACACAACACTTGACAGCATGAAGAGTAATTAAACACAATTTACAAAATGTTAGAAATACTCCTATAGGAAAAAAAGATTGCATTCATGTCCAGTAACATGTGATTACACGATGACTTAAAAAAATATTCAATACACACTAGAGTATTACATTTAAACATTCATTTAAACATTACAGTTGTTATTTTGATTGTTTTTTTGTTTTTTTTTACAGTAATTTGCTCATTCACGATACCAATGACAGACACACATTCCATCCAATCAGACTTAGCGCTTTGGGAGAGCAACGTCCCCACTAGCCAATGGGATTCTAACTTCTGTTCTGAGCTGTCCAATCACAGGCGGCTATTTCAGGGAAGGGGAGGGCCGCTCTCTCCTTTGGCTTTGCCCAGTCCGGATGTTCCCCCAGTAGCGAATACCGAGCAGCAGTGTGTGAATGTGGCAACCGAGGTAGACAGGGAGGGGTAGATAGACTGACCAGACCAAAGGGGTATTTTTTTTTTATTTTTTATTTTTTTTTATACAAATCCCTTTTGTCTTTATTGTTCTTTTTTTCTGTCGTGCAGAAGCGAGTGTTTACAGTCTTATGTTAGGCCACCGCGGTGAAGTTGTGTGTGGAGCAGAAAACCCGGCCGCCGCTGCTTTTCTTTGGGACTAACCATTGCCGTTGTGAAAACAGCCCAAGAAGAAAAGAAGGAAAGGGAGAAACAACATGGGGCGATAATAGAAAAAAAAACAAAAAACCAGAGAGAGAAGGTGTTGTGTTGTGAACCGACGATGACTCTCTGGGAGGATCCGTGAAGCTTATTTATTTTTATTTATTCCCCCTCCTCTTCCCTTTCCCTTGTGTCCTATTTTGTGTGTATATATATATCTATATATATAGAGATATATATATAAATATTTTACATTTTATCCCCCTCTTTTGCTGCTTTGGGGGGTTATTTTACACACAAAAAACTCAAAACAAACAAGGCATACGGGATACGAGGACTAAGAGGACTAAAGGATGGACCAAGCCGGCATCCTGAGAAAGTTTATCCAGGGGGTGAAGGCCATGAGAGAGGGGGACGAGGTGAGGGGAGAGGACAACTTCGGCAGCGACTTTATGGTGGGTGACAATTTAACATACCTAGCTTCCTTTACCTTACATCTAATCTCATATTTTTCCTCCTTTAACTCCGCGCTGAGCCCTTCATATCCCTACCACCCTCTTCCCTCCCCTCCTGTCTCCTGTATCCCCCCCCCCCCAGGAGGTGAGGCAGGGGCGGCCACACTGCCCTCTTCCTTTTCCTCCCCATTTCCAGGCTTTACATGGCGGCCTAGCATTGTCTCCCCCAAGCCACAGCAAAAAAAAAAACCACCACCGGCTCCTGTTTCTTTGAAAATACAGAGACAACAACAAGACAAGACGCGTTCACTGTCACTTTGAGCTATTATTTATAAAATAAAACAACATGGCGTTGCAGGAATAGCTTAGCTTGTAGGTAAATGCTGGGCTAAAGTGCAGTGTTATGGTGGCTTACTGTCTGTTAACCATGCCTGATTGTGAGGGTACAGTGCTATGATTCATTGTCTCCTCTGATGCCTAATAAGCAGTGAATGTCCAGCAACCAAATTGAGCTTTATTGTATTGTTTTTAGTATCCCTGCACATAGTTTTGATAGAAATCTCTGTGAAATATTTACAGGATGACTGTAGTTACTTATTTAGTGAAGTTTTAGGGCGGATATGTACTGTAATGGATGATAAATCCACCTTAAGACAGTTAAACCACCTTTTTTATTTTTATTTTAATACACTCAAATTTTACCCTCACTGATATAGATAATACTGGAGACGCTATATAATAGAATCAGATTTAACAGCACCACAGACAGCCTCTAAATGGTCATGAGGTTTAGTCAAATCTGAACATTTTAGCATTAATTGAGGTTGGATTGAGTGCAGGGATGTTGTATCAGACTGCATTAGTTTTTGGTTATGTGTATCTAATACTATAGTAATATTCACCTAGACTCATTTAATAGCATTTGTTTGACTCTCTTTCACGTGGAAAGGGTCTTTTGAGGCGTAAAAATGAGACATTTATTGATAAATTAACATATTTTGTTTGCCTTACGATGACTGCTGACCCGTAGTCTTAAGGTTACCCACACTGCATCACTAGATGTTATTGTGTTGCAACTCTGGACTCAAAATAGGACTTGTCCCAGGCTTGTGAAATAGCAGAAATAGCCACACCAGGAATGGCACTTCTATAATACCACTTGTGTCATTATGTGCTCATTTTAGCTGTGCTGTGATTAGGATACTTGAGAATACACACGCGCATTCATTTTTAAGTTTACATTAATGTAAGTGTATTAGTAATACCACTACAGGATTCAGATACAGTAAGCTTCACAGAGTGGGTCAGGGGTTAGGTTAAGTGTTAAGTGTTTTGATTTGCTTTACTGTACTACAGTTGGGGAAAGGGGCTAAATCAGCCTCAGAACGGTTAACTTTTTCCTCCTTTTGCCTACAGTTGCAAACACAAACACACACACACACACTATTCTCCTTACTTCCCTACTTCATGCAAGCTGCTTGCTGGAGCTTGCAACATTCTTTCTTGGCCCATTTCATAACATTTTGTCCTGGCTTTAAAACTGGAGCTTTATCAACTCCTGGGCATACTTTGTATAAAAGCTACACAATTTGACAGGCCTCTCTCTCTCTCTCTCTCTCTCTCTCTCTCTCCTCTCTCTCTCTCTCTCTCTGAATTGAGGAAAACTCTGTGTATTGTGTCCCAATTGTGTGCTGATGACTTGGCCTGTCCTGTCTCTCGAGCATGTGTTTCAGAAAACAGGGAGGTAGCGGATGTTGCGCAAAAAACAGACTACGAGGGGCGTTGGGCTGTGTGAGAGGCATTTAGGAAGTGCTTTATTGAGACGAGAGAAAAAAGGGAGCTGGAACCAGTCTGCCTTTGGCTTCTATACAGGCCATTCATTTCATAAAGCATGTGATCCGAAATAAAGCAACACGTTGGAATAATTGTCTTATCTCTACTTTAAAAAAAAAAAAAGTTATTTACTGTGGATTTCTATTGGCTGCTGTTTCCTCTTAATCTTGAATTCTCCATGTAGAGTTGACTGGGTAAATGTAGGTTCTTCTTTTAGCACCACCACAATTCTCATTCATAACTTTACAAACATCCACGCCTTGCCAAACTGCCTACTACAACCACAGTCCTCTGCTGCTGTAGATAGGGAGGATCTTTATGTGAAAGGGTCTTAAAAGCTTGTTGTTGGGGTAGTAAATAGTGTTCCTTTATCAATTTTCCTGACCCACACCCTCCCACAGGTCTTGTACTTACAGAAAACGGTAGCCTTTTAAGCAGAAACCCCCTTTTCAAACTTACAGGACACCACTTACTGCTTGTCGTGCCATGATTCTTCATGTGATATCTGTTCAGCTTCCTTTCCAAATTTACTTTATTGGCATGAAACACAATAATTTAATCATTTCCCTCTTAGCCTTTTGGCTATCACGCAACCCTCCTGAGAGTAACTTGACTATTAAACAAGTTGAACTAATTCTGTAATCTGGTTATTCACAGTAATCACGCAAACTTGCTGAAATATCAGCTGTACGGCAATCATGTAAATGGGGCTTCAGGCTAAGTTGCTGGCAACATCAGCCGGTGAATTAAAGAGTTTGGCGTAAATTATTCAGCAGACACACCGGCTTGTAGACAAGAAAACTTCAGCTTGAGCACAGGTGGGCCGTGTGCCGGTGTACCAGGCACAATTAAGAGTCATCAGCCACATGTAAGTAAGTGCTTTAGCTGGTTGCTGCTCGTCTGTCGTACCAATTTTGAGCGTCTCATGAAGCCTTCAATTGCTGGAGTCAAACTCACAATACCACAAGTGCATGGGGTGTGCTCCTTTGCGCACTGAGTCACCAGAACAGCCTGACATAACACCCACTTTAACTGGCTATTGTTGTTTATATATAGAATGTGTTTTATAGGCATAATTACAGTGCTCTGGTAGGGCAACGAGTCAGCGATTATATGCTTTGTTCGGTGCTCTTTTTCAGCTGTTTGATGGAATGGGAAAGCTTGAAATTTCCCCAAATGTGAGAATCGTCTTGTTCTGGTATTCAGTTGTGATTTTGTCATTTCTGAACCTACCAGGAACATTTTTGTGACCCATTTTGGCTGCCAGAATTAGCACAGGGCGTTGTTAATTTTAGGAATTTTGTTTAGTGGCGTTCGTACGCAGACACATGAACAACTGATCTAATTACACGGCACATATCTGTGCGTTGGGTGCAAGTACATCAGGGCCTCCCATGAAGTGCAAGGAGACAGAACAAGACACAGCCCAGAGCCTGGAGTTAAAGATGTAAAGCGGACGCATTTTTGTCATAGTCCTGGTGGTATAGTAATCGAAGAGCTAGATTACATGCTACTGTATACTATAATAATACTATAATTTCTTCCTTAACCCTCCGTCTTTTTCTGGTGAGTTTATGACAGAGTATGTTTTAAAGTTAAACTTAACAGCTTTGCATGTTGGTGAGAAATCCAAGAACTATCCAAAAGATTTGTGATATGATGTAACGTGTCATTAGTAAAAGGCACACGGTATGATCATTTTAACCAATCTGGTCTGATGACGAGGACTTAATTCAAAGGATACAAAGGGGATGGAAGGCAAAATATGTACCGTTCAGACCTTGGGATCGCCTCATGACGCAGGTTTTGCAAAATTGGGGCATCTGTGCAGTCGCCGGTTCCACAAAAACCAAACAATGGCAATCTTACTTGTTTCACAAGGGTGGTTATCAACTGGCTCTGTCAACCCACGGCTTTCCAAACCAGTTATTAGTGCGCTTATGTAAGAGAGCCAGAGTTTTTTTAACAGATAGCCAGTTGCAGAGGCAACAATATGGACACATCCAGAGAACATTTAGACGGAACATTACGAGAGGATTTGCGTGTCAAAAAAAATAAAATATATATGTCATGAAATTTTGGTCTGATATAAAGTGTATAAATATATTACAGAAAAATTTAACATAGTTTTCATTTTGAAGGCTAGGTAGGATTACGAGAGGCAACCTGCAATTGGCGTGATGACAGGACGACCCTAAATAGATGACACCAGCTACATTACTAGCTAGCAAGCCGGTCAGCTTTCCAACTAAGAACTCAGAGTAGCATCTACATGAGTATCGCTGCTGTAGAATAACTGTATGAAATGAAATTAGCTGAAAGGATAGCCTCCTTGCTTCTGTTCCACGTCATCACAGTTGAACTATCATCTGATCTCAACATTTCCATTCAAATGAATTAAATGCTGTGTGAAATGTTGTTGTCATAAATTTCGCTGTGACCAGACCCGTCCAATGTTATATTGCTGACTCACAAATCTGGCTTTTGTGAAACAAGCTTCGCTGTTCTATTGGCGGATCACTGACTGCCTGCTGTCTCGGAGAACTTCAGTTTTGATGTGTCACTTCCTGTGGACATAGAGAGTCTCTGTATTTGACTTGGGCAAAGAGTGAGAACAGTTTCTTTGGTTTAGCAAAGTAGAAGCACTCTTCTTTTTTTTTTGCAGGCTCACTTAGGTGACAGTTACTTATAGTCTGTGTAGTGAGGTGGTAGGAGTATGTAGAGTGGAGCCCAAGGTCAGGTTGATTGAACACACAGCTGTTGATAGACATACAAGCTTCAGGGATTGGGTTTGCGACCTATGTGTCATGGGAAACCTTCTGTAATGAGTAGACCACCACGTAGCCTGGAAGAAACATGCTACAAGAGAAGAATTATTGTGCACAGTATTGTGTATTTTTGCAGGGTTGTCCCCAGTGGCAGTGGATCTCCAAACCCTGGCAGTGTAATGCAAGTGTTACAAAAGACACCTAATTTAACTTATGCAAAATCTAACTTGTTGTGGAACACGGAGCTGAGAACAAATTTCTTTAGAACACATTGCAGCTTTGGCAACTGTTCATATACTAGGTTGCCCCCATGTGGCACACGAACAGACGTCTGTATATGAACAGATGCCTGGATATTGTGGGCCATGTACGAGGTAAGACGAGACACTGTAGGTGTCT